CAGATCATATAGTGTATGGAGACTGCCAGAAACTTAAATGATATTATAGATCCCAGGGTCACTGTCTTTCTTTATTGGGAAGTGTCACAACAGAAATAATAGCTGACAAAAACTTTCCCCATCAAGAAATTAGAAAATGAATTCAAAATGTTTGATGAAGGTCTAGTAAGTATCATGTGTCAATGTGAATGGAAAGTTAGATAAAGAAACATTTAAACAGAATAAGATTGAGGACTAATCTGATATAAATCATAAGGTGAAAATAATGTGTTTGACCCCGAAGTTTCCAATTTAAATAGAGAAATAAAGCAATTTGCTGGACCCAATTATGAAAATTCACAAAATAATCAAGTTTCTTTCTTGGGTAGATCCAGATAATGAAATTAACTTTGAGTTTATTGAATGTATGGGATATTATTGAACAATCACTCAATACATCACTGTTATGAGCGGAATTGTATCCCTACAGAATTTGTATCAAAACCTCAGAATGTGGTAGTATTTGGAGATAGGTTCTTTAAAGAGGTAATTAAGTTAAAATGATGGTATTATGGTGGGTACTAATGCAATATGACCAGTATCTTATAAATAGAGCCAATTAGGACATAGAAGTGACCATGTGAAATTTCAGGGAGAAGACAGCCATCTATAAGACAAAGGGAGAGGCCTCAAAAGAAGGTATTCCTTGTCAATCTCGCCTGTCTTAGATTTTAACCTGTACAAATTAATTTCTCTGTTTAAGCCTCCTGGAGGCTTAAACGAGGAGTCATGATATGGCTTAAGGAACCATGTCAGAGAAATCAATGAGAGGAAACTGTAAGAGGCCAATCCATAAGAGAGTAATGGAAACACAACAGAAAAGGATAACCAAAAGGGAGTGAGAGCTAGGTATTCATACACTGGTATTGAATAAGAAAGAAAAAATATATCCACAAATGAGAGAGAGGTGTGACAAGGTCAGGCAGAGGACTATCAGGAACACTTAGGGCAGTAGAAATCAAAGAAATCAAGAATGCTAAGAACTACTCCATGAAACATAAAGACTAAGAATACAACTGAACAAAATGTCCGTTAGAAGTTGCTATGCATAATTTATAAATGACCTTTAAAGAAACAGTTTTGGATTACATAGTCATTATCAGAAAAGGAAGCAGGCTAAGTAGGTAGGGACTAAGGAGACAAGCTATAGTGAAGGATCTGGTATTATTGTACTTTTGGTAGTAAGCTTAATGTAATATATACATATGATGATTTTCAATATGCACCTGAAATTTATACAATGTTATAATGCAATGTTACTTAAATTTTTGAAGAAAGGAAATTATACATCCATTATAAAAAACACACTTTCTTGTATGTGATGGGGGAGTGGGGATATAGGTATTTATATGCAGAAATTCAGTGACAGGGAGGGTGTCAAATTGCTGATTGGTTTCTTCTTCTAATGGTGATCTATGGATTTTATTTATTTTTCCCTTAAGTACATAATAGAACATTGATAAATATTTGCAGTGATGTCTTCCAACCATCATGAAGTTAAAGCCATTTAACATCAGGGCCTCCCTGGTGGTGCAAGGGGTTAAGCACAGCACTATGAAGCTGTCCACAGTCTCTGCAGCACCAGTTCGATCTCTGGTCGGCCAGGGAGCTACCCACATGGTACAGTAGACCTCTCCTGTCTCACCTGCTGCTCCTCTCAGCAGTGTATTTCAGTAGATCTGCCTGTTCCGTTATAATAAACACATTTTTAATGGAGTACTAAGGGCAGAAGATGGTTTGTAGGAGATAACATAAGGAAAGGTGGATGGGTTAGAATAAAGAAAATGAGTATAGTAACCTGTATCTCAGAATTTAACAGTGAAATTAATAAATGATCACAGATAATAGATAGTGGAGGAAAAATAGCAATTCCCTATTGGTATCATTGTGCACATTAGATATGATGGAGAGGGTGAAGATTGTGTACTGACGGGATATTGGGAGAGCAGGTAGTGAGGACATGGAAAAGTCATATAAATATATAGACATTTGGAATATGAAGCTGAATAAGAAAATTCTTCATCCAAAGCAATAGAAAATGACAGTTTATAGTTTAACATTCTCAAGGCATTTTACTTAAAAAAACAGTGTCCCTCAGTAAAGAAGGCGCTGTCTTATAATTGAGTAATTACAAATATTTTCATACAATGGAATATAATCTTTGGGAAAGACATACTAGCTCAAAATAGCATCAGGAAATGCTTGATTTTATTGCTTATGAAGAGATCACTTCATGGAATTGAAGGAGAGAAGAGGCAAGGGAAATTAATAGAGAATAAGTAATTTTTCCTAGGGGCACAGACTCTAAATTGTGAGTTGATAACTTAAGCAATCCTCTTTACAATTTACTTAAATAACTACTTGACTAAACACTTATATAGAGGTGATCATATATGTATACTATTAGGGTAAATGAAAAAACAATGATTCTAATATAGAAATAGTACTTTTAGATAGGGGTTAAAAAATCTGGTAATAGTATCGTATATCTTTTTAAAATTGTTTTCCACATAAGTGGAAGTAAAATGGATTCACTCATGAAAATTGTTAGATAATTCATAAACTGGTTCTAATAATGGCAACACATTGGTATCAAAGATACATGGAAGAGTTGGAAAATTTTTTTAATGAAATACGAGTAAAAAAGCAATTTTTCATATTAATTACTATTTTTATTGAAAACCCTCAGGAGGATAGGTTGAATAAATTCTCCTTGTTTTCATTATTATTTATATCCTAAACCCCCTCTCTTTTTTATATAGTTTTTTGTTCCTTTTTTCCCCACTTGCATACTCATTCCTCTCCCATATTATTTTATGTATGTTGCATGACTGTAGCTATTTTAAGTAGGTATAAACTACACTAGTAAATCAATATTTTAACAAATCACATTTTACTATTTCTTGTAAAGTCTTAAAAACCTGGAAATTCAAACAAAACATATTTTGGCTCCTTTTTATTGGCAAAATGGTAAATTATCTTTAATTCAGTGTTCTTTATATCTGGATTTATATGGTAATATCTTATTTTTTGGCAATATCTTAAAGTAATTTAAGAAATTAAGAATTCATTTAAATTGATCTTTTTTCTTAGGGAAATATATCCAGAAAAAAAATGCCACCCAAATTTTAAATACTCAAAATATATTCAGAAGTGCAAAAGTTTTACAGCTTATAGCTTTATGTCCCAACATCCTTCTGAAACCCAATCCCTACCTCCTATTAAATATTCTAGTAATTTAGAAAATTCTAAATAGTTCAGTCCTCTGAAATATATAAAACATTCTTTTCTGCTGCCTTTCCAGATTTCTTTCATTGAGGAAATGCCTGATTGATTTGAGCAAGCATGCTATGTGAAATTTTGGATGTTTATTTAATAGAACCAAAAACCCTTTTACATAGATTCACCCCTCATTACTCAACAATAATGCCAAATGCTACAGTCCAGGCTGATATTTATTATTTTATATATGAAAAGACATTAGAGTAGGGCTATTTCTCAGCAGAGCAGAGGAATAAAAGTTTTCTGAATTTTAGTTCGTCATAGAACTCCATGTAATGAGCTTTTACAAGACGTTGAGGAGCTGCAATTTAAAAACCTTATTTAATCAGCCATATGGAGCTGTGTGCCATTCCCTATGGGACTATGCTGAGAGGATCTGGCTTCCTCCTCTTCCATCCAGTGCATCACCAGGAATTGCTTTGTGGTCTGGGTCTGCCATGAGAGGCCACAGAGAGCCAGTGGCAGCAAAGCCTGGTCTCTGTTTTTCAGCATGGAGGGGACTGTAGAATACAAATCATCAGCTTTGTTTTCTGAAATCTTTATTTACAATGCTGGAGTGGAATTTTTTAAAAGGGGACTACAACATTTGCATTGAATCCTGTCACTCAAGCTACAGTGTTGATTCCTGTCCTATAAATGATCTTGCTTTCCTATTTTTTTTTTCCTTTCTACAAGGTTATGTCAATGTCAGAGGACGTAAACCTCAAGCATGCATTGTATGGGGCTTGGCATGCATGTTGGAAGGAAAGAAGTTTGCTTAATGAAAGTGGATAATATCAGTCATTCAAACTAAGCATATTTGACTGCACAAGGGAAAGTGTACCTGCTTTGGGAGTTTTGATTGAATTTTATCATAATATAAAATTTGCTGCTATTATTTTATTTTTCTTTGACCAACAATATTTCCCACTTAGCTTATAGTATATGTAAAGTGTCTGTCAAATGGAGTAATGTCTTTGTTGAAAGCATTCAGACCCACAGAAAGTGAATGACCCTCAGGAATGGATAGAAATCTCCCAATTTTGACGAAGATCCTTCTCTGGTTGGGAATTATATAGCTCAAGTTATAGACTAGGGAAATGACAGGAAGGGCTGTGTTTGGTTTCATGGAACTTAACGTATTTCAACAAGCCTGCAATAATGGAAAAAATAATACATGAAATTCTATTTGTGTCAGGCTTGCAGTTGATAGGTAAGGTTTGTATAAAGGTTACTCCTAAAAAAATGTCTGTTACCCTTACTTTACACTCCTGTGATTTCTTCTTCCAATTCCTGCCTTCTAGAACAATAAAATGATTTTAAAATAATAAGAGAAATAGATTTTTAAAAAAGATTTATTTATTTATTTATTTATTTATTTACTTATTTATTTATACAAGCACTGGGTACAGTCAGAAGTGTGGGAGGGTGAGAGAATTCACCAGAGCCAGAGTGGGGAACAGAACAGGCAGACTGAAGAAATACACTACTGAGGGGAGCAGCGGGCGGCAGGAGAGATCTGTCATGCCATGTGGGACCCTCTCCCCGGTGGCCAGGGATCGAACCATCACTACAGAGGCTTCAGGCAGCTTTGCAGACCAGCACTCAACCGCTGGGCCACCTGGGGAGGCCCTAAGAGAAAAATAATTTAATAGCCCATCTCCTGTCCTTTAATGATTATATGTATTCCTCTCTTGTAGCTTTCAGCAGCTGGAGGACAACTGACATTTACTGTATCATATGACCTGGAAGAGGAGGGAGAAGATACAGAACACGCACTACAACTTATGATTATCTTAGAGGTAGAGTGAAAGGATTGTCAACTATTTATAGTCTCTTGCTATTTATGGTTATTCCATACCTGGTTGGTTGACATTAATTTACATACTACTATAGAAAATTGATATCCTGGAAATTTTTTTATTCCAGTCTTATGTTTCTGAGACATTTCTGAAAGATTGAATATATTCTTTGGGTTACAATGATAAAGGAGACTTTTTTGAATAGATTTGGAATTTCAATTTAAAACTCAGTGACCATTTTCCCAAGAATATAAAGTGTAATGAAAATGTTTGGTCAGACACTAACCTACATAGTTGTATTTTTTTCCACTTCTCCTTGCTTCCAAGTAGATTTATTGTTTACTTCTTCACATATATTATCAGAAGTAAATGAAATGCAAGCTTATTTAGGAAACTTCAGAACTCCAAATTATGCTAAGAAGGATATAGGATCAATTGTTTCCAGGATTTGGAGGGCCATAAACACTTCTAAAATACTGAAAGTCTAAAGTTCCTTTAGTGGTCCTCTCCTAGTGTTTCTTATCACTTCCCCTTAACATGACACCTGCCCCCCCTCAACTTATGCCTTCCTTTGCATGGCACATGTCTCAGCGGCACATGCCTGCATGCAAATTTGATTCCAAATGGGTAGATCTTGAGTTATCACTAGACTCCATCATTCTTTGTCTTTCATGCATGTGAATCAGTGACAAAATTGTTTTCCCAAAATGAGTATTACCAGTATAAGATGAAGTGGCTAGATGTTATCTATCTTGTGTATATGTGTAAGTGCAAATATATTTTGGAATTCCTTTGAGATAAATGGGGTTCAGTAAGATGTACAATACTGAAATGTTATATATTTTCAATATAAAAGAACTAAGATAAGAAGGATAACCTAAATGTCATGTCAGTCAATATAGTCTCTATTCTGATATCATTATCCTTTTGTCACATTTGACTACAGTACTTTTTCTTGATTATTCTCATATAAAAAAGTCCTTTGAAACTATAGTTTAATAATCTGTTCTGCTTTCTTCCCTATTGTTTTATACAACACACATACCACAAAGTAATGCATTCGAAATATTTTCTGCACTTGTGTATAATCAACATATTTATAATCACATATATGTATAAGTTGCCAGGTATCTATTATTTTAGATAATAGGAGAAATAGGGTCATGCATAATCAGAAAATTTATATTTTGTAATGTACCTGATTTGGGCTAACATTTAAATTGTCTTTTTATGCCTTCCCTGTATACCAGACATATTCTGAGTGACAGGAAAATCATCCTGAAGTTAAAAATCTACTGAGAATAATCCACAAAGTGGAAAATCAAAATACACATACTTTTTACCCCAGTATACTCTCTTTTCACAGTTTATTCCTTTATTTTTTTTATCCCTTTAGGGAAATGACTTGAGAATCAGCACAGCCCAAGATGAAGTGTACCTGCAGCCATCTGAAGAGCGTATTAACGTATTGTCACTTAAAGAAGACTTTTTTACCTTACATGGCACAAATTCCCCAGTCAGTAGAAAAGAGTTTATGACTGTGCTTGCAAATTTAAAGAGAGTCCTCATACAAATCAAATACAGCCTTGGGATGGATGCCATCTTCAGGTAATCTCAAGAACTGCATTTCCCAGTGTTCATGCATTTTCCTTGAGGTTATCAGGTACAGGTTGCTAAAGGCTTTTGAAGATTTCTAGGGTTTGTTGTATTCCAGTAGTGGATATATTAAGGCTTAAAAATTTTAAATACCCAGGTGACTTTGTCTTAGCCCTTTTTTACTATTGATGATTCCTGTCAGACTGATGTATTGATTGATGATTCCTGTCAGAGTGATGATCAAAATTATTCCTATAGTAAAAAATCCTATACTGAAAAATAAAATCTCCTTTATGATGGCTCAGAGAATGGGAAACAAGAGATGTAATACCATAATTTGAAAGTCGTTGGTAAAATATTTTCTTCCATTAATTAGTTTCTGACATAATATATATATGCAGTTACGAATTGCTTAACAACATTTCAGTCAATGATAGCCTAGGTGGGTAATACACAATACTCTCTAGGTTTGTAAAGTTACAGTCTAAGATGTTCACACAATGACAAAATCACCTAGCCACACATTTCTCAGAATGCATCCCCATCATTAAGAAGCACTTAATGACTTAACATTACAAACACATGGGTACAGTTTGCAATAAATATAATTACCCTCATTTAGATAACCACAAGTCTCTTCATGAAACACTGTAAAGCTATAATGGCTGTATGGTGTAAAGGAAACAGTATGAGCTGAGGAGCAAATTGACAGGAATTCAGTAAGCTCTATCACTTAAATGTATGATCTTTAGTAAGTGATTGGTCCTACCTACAAATGTAATAGAGCCTACCTTTCAGAGTCATTGTGAAAATTATATGTGATAATTATGTCAAATGCTCATTACCTGGAGACTTTTGAAGGCTAGTTTCTTTTCATTCTCCTTTTATTTTTCTTAAAGAGGGAGCTGACTTTGAAACAAATATGCCCTTACCTGGCTGATGGTAGGCTGCTTTGCCTTCCATTGCTTTATGGATGATGACATTTTGTCTGTCAAAATGTTAACTTTTCCTGGTTCAGAATGAGCTCTTTTTTTTTTTTCTTAAAGGTTTATTTATTTATTTATGCATACAAGAGCTGGGCCAGAGATGTGGGGGGGTGAGAGAATTCATCGCAGACAGAGTGGGGGACAGAACGGGCAGACTGACTGAAATACACTGCTGAGAGCAGCGGGCACGACAGGAGAGGTCTGCTGTGCTATGTGGGTTGCTTCCTGGCCAGGGATGGAACTCGTGCTGCAGAGGCTGGGAATTGCTTCATAACGCGGTGCTTAACCCCTTGCACCACCAGGGAGGCCCCAGAATAAGCTCTTAACCCTTTTCTTTTCTACTCTAATAATAAGCAAGATGTCATGGCAATTTCTTTCCCTATCCAGTTAAGTTTGATAATTATATGTTGACCCAAAGCTAACAACTTGGCATGCCCATAATCAAAGCAATGTCTCCACTGGTTTATCTTCACAAGGACTTTTTCATTCTGCTGATGCTCCCTATCCCCATCATTTGCTTGCGTTGCCTAGTTTGTCTTTCACTTGTAGTATTTCAACTAAGTGTAATCATCATTACCATCTCCCAAAGGAGGGAACTGCAGATTCATAAACAGAAACATTGCCAAACAATGTACCTCTTTTGCATAGGCAATTCTCCTAGAAGCTGGGTTAAAATGCCATGAAGATGAGAAACAGCGCTTAGGAATTAATTATGTTTTTTCCCATTTAGCAAATAGAGATTGTCATCATGTTTAAACAGTATAAAGAGATGAGTCCTCTGGCTTTCAAAATGAATGACAACCAAATTGACAAAAAGTGGCTAGGGGGCTTATTTATTTTTGTCAGCATTGCTTCTTAGACTTGTTAATCCAAAGGCATTTCCCTGTGATTTATGTCAGATAATTTCCGTATCTACTCATCTTAAAAACCATCAGCCTTCTGAAGTTTTCACATACATGAACTACGTGTTCACAGAACAAGGTTAAAAGAATCAACATGGGAGTTAATCCAAGGAGGTGGCTGCTTTCTGCAACCTACATCCCATAAAGCAAGATGGGTCAAGAAGTAAAAAAAAAAAAAAAATATAAGATTTGAAACTCCTACCCACTTCAGGTGAGCTGTAAGTCAGTATGAATCCTGAGTTAGTAAACTTGTTACCTTTTATTTAGATCTAATGTAGTAGTGGATTGGGTCATATTTGTAAAACATCAGTTGAATTGATTTCAACTTGTCTTGCACAGTAGGTTTCCAACCTGGCATACTGTTTGTATGCCAGCTCAAGTAAATTGAAGCTATCTCAACAAAAATTTACGTTTAGATTTACTTAAGGAGGATTTATTTCCATGGTTGTTCTCTGAGCAAATGGACTAGGCTCCTTCAGTTATGTGGTTTAGATGGAATTGAATAGGGGAAGGAGAATTGGGTTGCAGGTGAGGATTTTGACTTCTCTTTTCAAATCAGCTATTTAATAGTTGTAAACAGAAGTGTAGCTTTGACCTCTTTAGATTTAAGTCACCTTGTCTGTAAAATAAAGAGGATGACAATTGCCTTGTCAACTTCAAAAGGTCACTATAAGACTGGAATTGGAGGGCTGCTAATGACAAATCAACATACAAATCTCTGGCATTTCTAGCTGACCTGCATCATTTCAAGGAATAACATTTTCTCTAAGATTAAGACTTGGAGACAGTTTTTACTGTCATTCTTTTCCAGAATGCTGAGAGGATGATAGAATAAAATTAATTGATTTTGTTCTGTACTGTCCTTATTGGTAACATAAAGATAAAACGCAAAACTTTTCATCTTCCTTTTTCAAAATGTGAGAGGAATCAGTTAGTTCAAGCAAGGGGCAAGTTCACCTTTTCTGAGAGACCCACATGGCCCAAATATAGATGTACAATCGCAAAAAAAAAAAAAAAAAAAATTTTTTTCCTTTTACTCTATAGTAGACATTAGTACAGTTCATCAAATTTCCAGTCTCTATGTTTTGGAATATTGCAGTCCCCAAATCTTTGAGGGTAAATGTGTCCCATGATTTGGTTTGGCCACTGAAATGTGAGATGTATTCCTCTATACCCCTGCAAAGAACATTAAATTGCCAATATGAAACTGGAGCTTTTTCAGTTACCAGCAAATCAAAATAGCCTGAAAAATTGACAACACATGGAGGAAGTCAGTTGTGAACAGACCCAGAGCTCTACAGGATTTTACATGGGTAAACTTTTATTTTCTGTTAAACCACAAAAATTTGCAGTTGTTTGTTACCAAAGCATTACTAAATCCATGATTTTATCTTGATACACCTCATCTGTTTTTATTGCTTAAAAAAAACAGAAACTTTTCAAGGCAAGATGTTTTCAGATAACATTTAGAGTAAATTTGGGGTTTTTTTAGGTATCAAAAATGTTTTATTTTTGATCAGGTTTTATATAATAGGTAATATAAAAAAATCCTTATAAACAAAGGAGCCTGCTGATGAATATATATGTTGAAATGATAGGTGCATAGTATGCTTTCATCTTTTGAAATTAATGATACACATAATCACATTTGGAAGAAGTTACAATGATGAGGACTCTAGGACTTAAAAAGATTATTACAACTCACTGGACTTTAAACTGTTGATTAAGAGCTGCAACCTGGATATAAATCCATGTGTTTCCTCCTTGGTACCTTTGACTGCCTCCCAAATCTATTTAGTAAATGTTGGATTTATTCAGTCTGCCAGAATTTACTGGGTGCCTTCCCTGTGTGTATTTCTGTCTTATTTTCTTGTTACATAGAACAGCAAAGGCAGTATCTTACTGTAAAGATTGAAGGTTAAGTGAGAAACTGATCTATTTAAAACACCTGACTTGCTATCTAGCCTATGTTGGGAGTCAGAGTGGAGGAACAAGGTAATCGTTGGTTTCTGCAGTCACACTAGGTTTGAATCCATATGGCATCATTTGCTGGCATCGTTTTAGAGAAGGCACTTGACTTCCCTGAGCCTTAGGTTATTCATTTGTAAATGTAACCAAAGTCATGATTACCACAGCAAGTTTATTGATACTTAAATGTGATTCCTGTGGGCCCTCATTATAGTGCACAGAAGATAGTAGACACTCAGTAAGCAACAATTATTATGAGACGTGGTAGTTCTAGATTAAGCAGAGATTACAAAAATGGATTATATTACAGTCCAGTACGAAAGGCAGACGTGTCCATTTATGATACTGTAATCTTTAGTGCAGTGGCGTGGGCACAGTGCACCTCTGTAGAACTAAAAATGAAGAGGTGAACTCTCATATTAGCATTAATTTTTTTTTTGATGAATGGTTACAACAGTGTCAGAGTCTGTTAATGGTGTCACTTGCTGGATGTGGAATTGAAATTGTATGAGAAAAGGTCTAACTCTCCTAGGGGCCCATTCAATGAGAGTCCATTGAATGATTCCATTGATTTTTTAGGAATGGAGTAAAAACTGTCAGGCTTCTCTAATTCAGTAGTACGAGTGGGTCTTCCATAAGACAGAGGCCAAAGGAAGTTCTGGGTCATCATCTTATGTTTCGACAAAAATAAGATAGAATGAAGCACATGAACAACAATGAAATATTCATCTGTAGTGGCTAACCCAAAATAGCACTCATTAAAGTAGAATTAAATAAAGATCTTCAATGTAAAAACTTACAGAAAAAATACTAAAAAGTTTTACATCAAAGAATAACTTTTCAAATAATAATTTAATTAGTTGGTTGATTTTTTTTTTTTAGTTAAACATAGCCTATCTAACTCTAGTAAGAAATATAATAAAATATAAAAATTGAGGGGCCTCCCTGGTGGCACAAAGGGTTAAGCACCGCACTGTGAAGCAATTCACAGCCTCTGCAGCACAAGTTCAATCCCCGGCCAGCCAGGTAGCAACCCACATGGCGCAGCAGACCTCTCCTGACTCGCCCACTGCTCCCCTCAGCAGTGTACTTCAGTCAATTTGCCTGTTCTGTTCCCCACGCTAACTCTGGTGAATCCTCTCACCCCCTGCATCTCTGGCCTGTGCCTCAGCTCTTGTATGCATAAATAAATAAATCTTTAAAAAATAAAATAAAATATAAAAATTGAGAACAATCTTTAAGTTAGTCCCAGGACAATGTTTCTGATATGATTCCATTATTTTCAATACTAGCTATATAATTATGTCTTTTCTCCTCATCCATCATCTTATGTGTATTTATAAGTCATAATAATATTGAGAAATAGCCAGTGAAGCCACATTTGACTTAGTTGACAAATCTTTGATAGTTCATGCATCTCCAAACTTTAATACATTAAGACTGCCAGCATTACATATTTAAATGAATGTAGCATGTATCAAGAAAAGAAAATGACCATATTGGAGAAAAAAAAAATAAACCACATCCTTCTTCATGAGTAACACTTAAAACTGTTAAATGCATTAAAATCCCATTTAACAAATAGCAGAAACTAATGAACATTGGGATTGCTCAGTGAATACTAATGTGGAATATTGCTGGGAAAGATTTTGAGTGTTGAAATTTTGCATAGCTCAAAATACTTACATAGATTAAGGAGAGAAACATCTGCTGTTCAAAAGACATATAAAACTTGGCAGTTCTTTGAAAATATTTTTGTTTTGTTTTGTTATAGTTTAAATTGTTCCTTAAAGTAGTCAGTTACTCATTTTTCTCTTTTTAAACATTCTAATACTTTTTCTTTAAATTTTGCTTATCAATTTTATGTTAAAAGTCCTGGAACTATATCTATATTCAATTTACCAGTCTGCTGTCTAGTAAATTGTGACAGTCTTTTTGTATGATAATCAACCAGTATAACAATCATGAAATCATCTAATTCTGAAATTTAACAGATCAGAATTATAAGCTTGTCATGTGACAGTCCATTAATCACAGACAATTGGATGCCACAATGCATTCTAATGAGTTTTGATCTCTGGCCTCAAGCCCTAACTTGAACATTTTTCACTTTGTTTTCTTTATCAGATCAAATGAGTATCTTGTCTTCTACTTTTCTGATTTATACATCTAATATATGGATACTAAACTTTTCTGCATCATTTTTCATGGAGTATGTTAGTCATTGTAAAGTGACTTTGTTCCCTTCAGTTGTTATTGGTTTATTCATTTATGTATGTATATATTTAATTTTGTATCCATCCACTATCCATCCATCCATCCATCCATCCAACAAAAATTTATTAAGCTTATATTGAAATGATCAGGTTAGATACATAAATGAGAACTAGCTCATAATTGCATATTAACGTAAGCAACCACTGCCCTTAGATTAACAACTCTTCCTTGCCCTAAGAATTGCCAGATCTAGAAATTCTACCCCTAGGTATAAACCCAAAAGAATTAAAGACAGATACTCAAAAAATACTTGTACGAGAAAAATGGTCATGAATAGACATAGATTTATTCATGTTGTTGCAAATGGAAGTACATCGTTTTTTTAATAGCTGAGTAGTTATCCATTGTGTTTATCACTTTTATCTGTTCTTCTGTTGATGAGCACTTAGGTTGTTTCTAGCTTTTGGCTATTGCAACTAATGCGACAATAAATGTGGGAGATATTAAATCTACTTGAATTAGAATTTTTGTAATTTTGGGGTAAGTACCCAAAGTGAGATTACTGGATCATGTGGAATATCTACATTTCATTTTTTTGTGACCTCTTCATATTGCTTTCCATACTGTTTCATACTGCTGACCATAAATAATATACATGGATTCTCTTATTTCCACATCCTCCCCGGACCTGGTGTTTCTTTTCTTTGGGATAACAGCTATTCTTACAGGTTTGAGTGATATCTTACTGTTGCTTTGATTTGCATTTTCCTAATAATAGAATAGCCATCTGTATGTCCTCTTTGGAGAAATGTCTATTTAGATCTTCCGCCCATTTTTAATAGGGTTGTCTGTTTTTGTTGTTGAAATTTGTGACTTCTTTAAATATTTGGACCACCAATCCCTTGGCAGACATATGATTTGCAAATATCTACTCCCATTCACTAGAAAGTCTTTTCCTTTTTGTTTGTTTTTAATTATGTTTATTAAGGTAATGTTGATTTATAACACCATATCTTTAAAGAGCATGGGTTCATACTTCTTCAAATATATGTCATCACATTAAACCAATACCAAAGCCCCAGTATCCTCCACCATAGTCCATTGGATTCCTTTCTGCCTTTGCTATCATTCTGCCACCTTTCCCTTATGGTAGCCTCTGCCATCAGATTTCAAGGGTTTGTTTTTGTCTGTTTTTTTTTTTTTTTTGCTTTGCTTTTTATATTCATGTGAATGAAATCATCTGATATTTTGACTTATTTGGCCCACCATAATCCCCTTCAGTTCTATCTATGTTGCTACAAATGGCAAAATTTCTATTTTTTATAGCTGAGTAGTATTCTATTGTGTATATTTACCACATCTTCTTTATTCACTCATATGTCATTGAGAACTTAAGTTGTTTCCATAAGTTGGCTATTGTAAATAGTGCTACAATGAACATAGGTGTGCATACATACTTTCAAATTAGTGATTTTTTTAATCTTTGAGTAGATACTTATGAGCAATATTGCTGGATCATGTGCTAGACCTATTTTTAACCTTTGAGAAACCGCTATACTGTTTTTCTTAGAAACTGAAATAGTCTACATTCCCAGCAGTAGCAGGAATGTTTTAATTACTTGGCTTTGTAGTATAGTTTGAAATCATGTTTTATGATACGTCTTATTTAAAAAAACTGGGAAAAGTCAGTAAGATATTAATAACATTTTTAATTGTGAATGCATACTAAGTTTGTATAATTTTTGGAAGAAAAAATATTAGTACACAGATACATACATACATATATAATATATATATATTATATATATATATATAACTATGTAACAACATGTTTCAGTTTGGAAAAACTAACATTTTCCTAAAATAATGACTAATACCAAATCGTTCTACAGAGTAAAAAATGAAGACTTTAGATACATAGAACAATGAATGTAGTTTAGGCCCCAAAATTAAAAAATAATTTTAACTAATTCCTCTTAGCATTTAGGAAAGTTTCACTTTTACCCACCAACATACAGATTTATTTCTGAAAAAAAAAAAATACCAACATAGATCCACCTTTTGTTTTCTTCCATCTTTTCTTTCAGTTTTAAACTTAGACTGGAATATCATAATCATCTGCCTCTGCTTTCTAGTTTAAAATAAATTGGGCATGTGTTATATTTTCTGTTTTAAAAATCCCTCAACTGTATGATTTTAAGTCCTCTATCAGCCTGCAGAAAAAGAAATAAAACACATTCAAAAACTAAGTGGGAATGCTCTCGTACTTTATCAAGTTAAGAAGGTTGGTCATGGTTGCCCAATATGATGAATAAAAATAATTTCAATTTATGGACATTCATTAACTTTCTTCCTCAACATAAATTATTTCATTATAACCTATTACTATACTATTCTTCAAGCTATATAAGACCTCACAGCTGATTTAGTTATTTTCCATCTTTTTCTTTCCACCCAGGTTAAGCTCTGTTGGCCTTGAATCTGCTGTCCCTTATCCTACTGAAGGAAGCATCGCCACGGCTGTGGAAGTTTGTCAGTGTCCACCAGGGTACACTGGCTCCTCTTGTGAAGTAAGTTTACAAGAATAAATCCTCAGTACATTAGGCTTTTTTTTTAACATTTCATTAATAAACTATTCTAAAAGGAATTTCGTGTATCCATTAATGGTTGCACAAGCAAATGATAGTGTATGACCTAACAAAGAAACTTGAATGTCTTCCAGAAAGTCATGACTTCCAAATAAAGTGCTACTCACATTGTTTTCTTGAAATTATGTTTCTTTTGGAAAGATTGTGCCTTAATGTAGCTGACAATACAGTATTTTCATGTTTTTTTTCCCTATTTAATAAGTTGATAAAGTAGAATGGATGCAGGAGAATAATATTTAATATTTCAAAATAATTTCCCTTCTTTCTGCTCAGGACTTCCCAGGAATTTAGTACTAAGATTTTTTTTAACCTTTCCTCCATTTTGTTTTAAATTATACCTTCTGGTAATTTTAGTTTACAACAGTGTTTGTAATTTAGGGGTATTCATACTTCAGTTCATGCTTCTTCAGATGTATGTTACCATACTACACCACTTTTTAATCCTGTGTGCCACACTTCTTCTACCTTATTCCTAGGAATATAAAATCATAATCTTTTGAAAGATACAACCTTTAAAATGTCGAGAACATAGTCTATGGAAGAAATACCTTGATCTGGAAAATTCCCTATAGGTCTTTGATTTATTTAGCACCTAAAGTTTGAGATACTTATCATTGTCTCAATAGTTTAGTTTTATAATAGGATTAATGTTTTTAAGGCAATAATTTTTAGTTCTGTGTATTTTCTTTAGGTGGCTTGAATTGATTTAAGTTTAAACCTGGTCAAAAAATGTAAACACTATTTCCCCAATAGAGGTCATGACTTGTAGATAAATAGGAGCTTAAATTCTTTAAAATGGTGCCTTTAAGGAATCATTTGAGTGTACCAAGTAGTTCCACTTCAGCTCCCTAGCCCATTATGCCACTTACAGAAATACTCTAGGCATTGTTTTATCAATTCTCTTGTACTTTAAAATAATGCAAGATTCCAGAAGATATACAGGGCATAGTCATGTGCATGACAAATGTTTTTCTTTCACTGGGCTCAGATTCACCTATTTAAAATTAAAAGTAAATGGAATTCATTTAGCACTTGCTTTCCAAATTTCAAGCAGAGAATAAAAAAAAAAGATGGAAATAAATTAGTCTCTCAATCCAAATTTGATTTTACTTGTAAAATATATGCTGAATTTGATGAAGCATATTATTTTATTGAGTCCAACAGTTTTTATTTCAAACCAAAAGGCTGTCTGAATCTTTAAGTACTCATATCAGTTGAAATAGTAAATACCTTTTTTATATTTACTTGAACATTTTTTTCTCCATATTAGTACTCATCATCTTTTATTCAAGTTCCAAATGCCTATTGAATATAAAATTGTCAGACCGTTAGAGTTGCTTAATTGTTTATTTTTTGTTTCTTCAGAAATATGTTTTCAGAATCTTTGGGAAATTATCAATAACATTACATAATAATCTATATCCTTAAAAGAGATAACAATCTTTTGGGAGATAACATATAGCTATGAAACATTGGATCACAGTATTTAGGGGGCCAATATGTGGTATAGAACATTAGAGCAGTCATCACTTACAGAGGTATGATCAGTTGCAGTGGAAGATATGTATCAGAAAGTATTCTCAAATGGAAAAAAAACTCAATTTAGATGGTAAAATTAGATAAGAAGAGAAAAGCACATGATTGTGAAGAGTAAGGACAAAACAAGCAGAGGATGAATAGTAAAAATTTCCTGTGTCTCTTATATAATAGTTATTTGGTAAATAAAGTTGTTTGGGAGTCCTAGTTGAATCAGGAAGCAATGGATTCTGAAACTCTGGAATTTCTCTCTGACCATCTTCATTTTCTATCTCTCTTAATATTTCCTTCTTTTTGTTACCAAAATTTGCTATGCCTAGATCATTATTATCTATTCCAAGTTTCATTTGCTTTTTTATTGGATTTACAAGGCTATTAACTCTACTTTTATTACTAATATCTTTGGACCCTTTAAAAGCTGTGTAAACTCCAAAGATCATTAGTGTGTCAATTCTGTTTGCCCAAAACAGTGCAACCAACTCCATTATAAAATCATTCTCTTACTTTCATAAGAGGCCATAATGGTGATCATAATCTTATCCTCAATTCTAATTTGTCTCCTTGTAAATTACTCAAAAGTTCATCTTTCCATACTCAGATGTTTAAAAGAGAGTAAACAGTGCTTTTTGGGGCAAAATGGGTGGACCTTGAGGTGATTATGCCAAGTAAAATAGGTCAGAAAGTGAAAAACAGATATCAAATGGTTTCACTTATCTGTGGAATATAACTAACCCACAAAGGCATACTGGCAAAGTATGGAAAAAGTCATTCTTACATTCTGTGAAAATTATACTGGTTACCATAGGGAAAAGGGGGGAGGGAGAAAAGGATAGGGGAAGGGAGGGCCTTGACATAGGAGTAACGATAGCTGTGAGAGAGGCATGTGTACCCTGGAGGTATGAAAATGTACCCCCAAAGTTATATAGATATTTAAATGACTGAAAAAGGAAGAGAGGAGTGGAAGGAGGAGAGAAGAAGGAAGGCAGGCAGGAAGGAAGCAGGTGTCTGTTGATTGAATTTGGCTACCTGGAAATTGGTAACATGGACTAGAGCAGTTTTGATTGAGATTTGATTTGATTTGTGGCATAAAACAAATTAGAATGCTTAAAATGTGAAAGGGAAATAGGAAGAAAAGACTTCTTAGGGGGATTTGAAGTTTGAAGTAAGAGAATGTGAGATAAATAGTATATTAGCAAGGGGTCTCCCTGGTGGCCTAAGTCTCTGGTGAATCCTCTCACCCCCTGCAACTCTGGCCTATACCTCAGTCCTACTATGCAAAAATTAATTAATTTTTAAAAAGAAAAAAATAGTATATTTGCAATGTTTTAAAAAACTTACTGAAAATTCCATGGATATCTACACTGAAATCAGTAAATCAAGTACCTCCTAATTACTGACATCTTTAATTTTTACCTCCTTCTGGATATGTAGTTTCATCAATTCTTAGAAAGTGTGTTATCGATTTCTATAATGATCTAAGGTGACAAAAAATTAATGGGAAGAAATGATGAGAAAAGAAGAGAAAATTAACCTTTTATTTCCTGTACTGTCCAAATTAAGTGGAAAGTGGTTTCTACTTTCCTGTCAGATAAGAAGCATCCTTTTTCATGTGTTTGTTATCGATGCTGAAATTTAGGAGCTGTCATATCCTGAGGCAAAAGGAACATTTCCCAGCAATACAGAGCACAGTTCTTTATACTTTATTACTTCATTGGTTTCTCACTTGTTTCTCTTTTCAGCTGGGAAAAAAAGACCTTTTCATGATATATAGTGTTGTATTTAACCATCTAGAGATATAATAAATAAGCCACAAAACCAATTATCACTTGAGGGAGATCATAAGCTGCTAGAGGGCAGCAATATTTGCCTCCCCCTTATTTCCTGTCCTTTTCAGCTTGTAGAAAAATCCCACAGAAGAGAAACTTAATTAAGGATGATGACGGACATAGCACTATAACTGTCACACAGTGACCTAATATCCTTTTTTAATCAGAATTCTGTTTTATATAATAAAGTGTTTCACACCTCAAAAAACTGATGAATATATTTAAAATTCTAGTAGAATGTCCTAAATGTCAAGAGAATATATGTAAATAAATCGTTAACTATTTTGTATAAATTTGAGAAAGTATAATAGGATAGATGATATTGAGAATGAAAAATATGGATTGTATGTATAGAACCCAGCTGTATATATGGTCCAATGTTAGACTAGGGTGCAACCTTTCTTGCAAATAATTGCAGAAGTTCTGAAAGTAAAGGAGTTAAGGTCAGTTCATATGTAGAAAGGAGAGTTCATTCTAGAGAATCAGCATTCCTTGGGATGACCTTAACTGCACTCTTAGGCTAATGTTCTCTGAAAAATCCTTTTATGTGGACTGCTTTTTTTTCCAATACTTTTCTATTTCCCTGTCTGTGCTTTTTGCTTTGAGACTGTCACATTTCAATTCTTTATATCTCTGCTTTATTTTGCTATTTCAGAAGAGACACCAAGCTAATGCTTCCTCTAATCTCATACCTGCCAATAATGCTAAGGTCAGTACCCAGCGCCATGTCAGAAGAAATAGCTCTACAGCAGCGCTTCAATGATGGCAATTCTTTGGCAAGCACCTTTGCTGAATTTACTACCTAAATATTTTCCTTTATTCAAAAAAATAAGGGTTTTTGTTTTTTTTTTTTAAATCCCTGACACTGACTTGAAACCCTGTCTTTCAGTCATGTTGGCCTCGGCACAGGCGAGTTAACGGCACAGTATTTGGTGGCATCTGTGAACCATGCCAGTGTTTCGGTCATGCGGAATCCTGTGATGACATCACCGGAGAATGCCTGGTGAGTGTTTGCTCCTTTGTGGTGCTGATTGACAGGCTGAAATCAGCTCAATAGGCCCTGCAATTCAATTACTAGCTTTAGGACCTTAGACACTCGAGTCAAGGAGTGAGTGGAGAGAGATCTTTGGACTGTTCTAAGGAGAGAGCTGGTCTGCTCCTTCATGTGTGGTCTCCCTGATTAATGATATTAGGAAGTGTTTTTGTTTTTTTTTCATGTTAGTTGAAGAACTGAATTAGGACCAAATAATCATAATGAAAACATAAGTAATGATGGGTACATATGTACCACGAATATATACAGTTTCTCTACCTCCTATGAATCTACCCAAAATAGATGACGTCAACAATAGGAAATTATTTGTATCACCATGATATGAAAAGTATAAGATATAACCTTTGCAGTGGACATAATTAAGTTCTTATTAAAATGAGGGCATATTGTTAGTTTTTTTTTATTTTAAAATTTCCGCATTTAGCTAAATACAAATGTCATATGTATTGAATAGATTAAAAATTATAAATGCATGCAATGTGTATTCACCCTACTCTATGTGTATTCACCCTACTATGTGCTTGCCCCTACTATAATTTAGTGTATACTTTTAAGCAGGAAGAAAAAAAAAAAGCTCTAAAGCATTTTCTTTCCTGCTAAGAAACCTTTGGATTGGAGAATTGAGCAGAATAAACCATTCTGATTAACTCAAGGACATGTTAGTTTTATATTGTCTGACATGGCATGAAGCTTGAAACAACATTTCTCATTTCATTAATCTTGCAGAAACACAATTTGAAACAGTGCCAATTGAGGACGATATCATATTCTCATTTCCCTTTAGAATTAAGGCAGACTCTGTTATCTATATTTCTTAATGTTCGCTTTCTCATGTTCATCCCCAAAACCTTTTTTTTTCTACTGAAAAGCATCTGGGAAAAATCTAAAATGAGAATTCAAAGCTTTTGTTTCAATGTAATTTGGCATCTAGGTTTATTGATGTTCGTTTTGTTTTCTCTTTATAAGATTTGGTTTAATTGCATTGTAGTATAAAGCATGTTAGCCTTAATTTGTAGATCAGTAGATTTTTCTAAATGGCATTTTTATGATACAAAGGCTAAGTGATTTTCATTTTAATTTTACCATAAGTCTTTTAAAACTGACCTTGGGAAAAAACATTGAGTTTCAACACATTACTAACATGCAACAGGAAATATTCCACCCCAAACTGATAAAGATTAGTTTTATTAAATCTAGAAATCAAAAATGAAGATATCATGACACCAAACTTAAAATTTTTCTGATAGTAATATTTTCTGATAGTAATATTTTTCATTAGGATTAAATCCAATTTTCTTTTTGCAAGAGTGGATGGAACAATGGAACAACTTTTGTTGTTACATTTGATTATGATATTTCTAAGAATGGAAGCCTGTTTTCTTTTTTAGAATAGATGTCTCATCTATTCTATGTCTCATCTATTCAGCTTTGTTTGGGGAGTGAGAGGAGAAAAAACAGTGATTATCTAAGTCCTCATACCAATAAAACCTAATTTATTGAATATGTTCATGGAGAAGAAGAAGAGGGAATCTGAGGGACCAGTATTTTCACTTTGGAAAACTGTTTTTCTTTATATTAGAGCATTTATGAAATTTACAGATAAACCTGTTTTTAGTTTTGTTTGACTTTGAAATCTTTTTAAAAATTAATTACAATACATTCTTGACACCAGATCAAAATTTAGATGTTTGTTAGTGGGTGGACTTATATGAAAAGGTCATTTTAACTCAAATATCCATGGGAAGTGGCCCAGGAGGCATTCAAAGACACACTGGGAGACTGCATACTTGCTCCTTCATGTGATCTTGTGATAGTGATGTGCACAGACATTTGGAAAACACTTTTGCTGTAGGGAGTCCATAAAATTTACCAGTCCATCAGAAGGAACCTTTCCTCATTTTCAATTGGGTTTTCATTATGTTATTGTCTAGTGTTGTTTTATAGTTTCAATTGTAAAAATACTTGACTTTTAAGATAAGTTTTATTTCATTTAAGTGAAATACGACCTTAAAAAATGTAAAATATGTCTACATGTTCTCTTTAACAGTAAAGAAAAACACAGCCTCTCAGTTGTCTGAGATTTACAGTTGAGTTTTAGAAATACCACTTTCAACATGGTTAAGGCATAATCTATTTTATGACCTTACTTTGTAAAACCTCTTAGTCTTTGAAGATATGATTCCGATTGTGTCCATATGACAAGCATGCAAAGACTGTTACAATAAAAATACAAGTCTTTAAAAATAGCCAACCTTATCTAACTTGAAAGTCAAAAGAAACTAATATAAGTAAATAAAAATGGATAATCATTCTTCAGATTGATCCATGTTTTAAACAATCCATCCCAATATGCTGTATTTAGACAACTGTTGATTGTGAAGTTAACTTTTATGCTATCTTTGAAAAGAGGTTGGTAAATCAATTTGAAAGAGAATTTAAAATAAGTTAAAGAAACAGCTATTTGCAAGTATCACCAGATATTGAAGAATTACCTATTTACTTCTAGTTGATGAAACTGTCATGGTATTTTCAAGCTTGAAAACTGTGTATCTGGTTTTAGCTCCCTCATTTTACAAAATGTATGAGAAGTTCAGAGTTAAATAATTAGATTTTAATATAGATGTTCTTTACTCAATAAATTTCACACCCTCCATAACATTTAAACTATATTTTAAATTATGTATATATTTGTTTGCTCTTTATGAAATTCAGTTATCAAATCTAACTGAAATCCGGTGTCTTTAAAAATAAATAATAATTCAGAAGATTCATTAAATCACACTGGCTATACCAACTGTCATTTAGATTAATACATTTTTACTTTACACTTAAAGCAAATTGATATTTTAACTCCCTCTACATATTTTGTTGTTAATAAAAATCAAGGTTTTGCACCCTTAAGCTATTTTGAACTCTTTCAACATAACAAAAACTTACAATTTTATGTGCTTGCAAAATTAAGAATGTATTTAAGTCATAATGAACTCATATTGTATGAATTTGAAAATCATTGGATGCAATTTATTAAAACATTAGAGACTAAAGATGTTATGTCCACATAATGCCAAAAGAAATTATCAAATTGTGCTTTGAGAACTTTATAGACAATCCCATTGCTTGATTACCTGCATCATTCAACTTTATAGTTATATTGATGAATTTTGTAAGCACAGCTTGAATTGATGAATGTAATTTAATTGATATGAAATAAGATATACATGATTTTGTTTTATTTCTTTATTTTGTAAATGGTATTGGTTCAAACATACTAATTCGAAGAAAAATAGAGTTTTAAAAAAGAAAAAGATTTTATTTTAAAAATGTCTGAGGAAAGTTGTTATTTGCTTAAGGGTTCATTGAACAATGATATATGTCTAAATTTTTATAATATTCTTACTGTCTAATTATGAGTAAAGGTCTCCTTCATATATGCTGCGTATTAGCACATTGACAAATCATCAAAACCCACTATGGTCCAAATTAATCTCTGAGATAAGAGGAGGATAGTCCCAGAGGATTTGTAAGATTAGCCAAATTTTTCATTAAAACAGTAGGTTAAGCTAACAATTGATTTTTACCTAGAATCAGTTATACTTTCCATTAAACATAAATTATTAGAGCTCTAAGACCACACACATACCCATATACACCAAATCACATGTATTTCCTTTAGAAAAAAATAAGAACTGAAAAAAGGAAACTAGATTTGCATAATGAAAAATCATACTGGATTTAAGTTATCTTTCTCCAAGCATACACGTGCTGAACTAGCATATAGTTTTAAGCTAAATATTAAATTAGCTTTCAATGCTATTACCAAGCTGTAAAAATGACTTTAACATGGAAAATTATTCTTCTTGTATGGGGACAGATTAATGACTCTGTAGACCTATTTTTGGTAACATTTTGATACTTGAGACCAAAATAATCAACTCTGATGTGCATTTCTCCCTCAGAACTGTAAAGATCACACAGGTGGCTTATACTGCAATAGATGTCTTCCTGGTTTCTATGGTGATCCTACTAAAGGAACCTCTGAAGATTGTCAGCCATGTGCCTGTCCACTCAATATCCCATCTAATAAGTAAGTAACAAACTTGCCTTTTTAATTAGTTTGGCCTCCCAATCAGCAAGTGCATTTTTTATATGGTATGTACTTTTTCTCTTGTCATACATAAATAACTAATACATGTGTGAATGTCTTGAGAAGGTAATATGAGCCCTTGTAAATATAAAACATGTAAGGTTATGGCAATTTGTTCTCTTGAATGTTTTAATTTTTTAGCTGTAGATTTAGTGATTTAATACCTAAGGGACAGAAATGAAATTGAAAATTCTGAATCATTTCCAAAGAACATATTTTATACAGACATAAACATGTGCACATGTGCCCACATATATGCACATGCACCTGTCCCTTTACTATAATAAAAAATGCTAATGTAAATGCTCATTTGAATCTCAGTTCACAATATTTACTTGTGAATCTTCAGCAAGTCACAAGTTTATTGACTTTTATTTAATTTAATTAATTTATTTATTTAGCATAGAAGAAACTGGGGTATAGGTCAGAGGTGCGGTGGGTGAAGGGATTCACCAGAAACAGAGTGAGGAACAAAACAGGCAGATTGACTGAAATACACTGCTGAGGGGAGCAGCAGGCGAGTCAGGAGAGGTCTGCTGCGCCATGCAGGCAGCTCCCTGGCCAGGGATTGAACTTGTGCTGCAGAGGATGTGGACAGCTTCATAGGTTGTGTCTTTAACCCCTTGTGCAACCAGGGAGGCCCAATTCTTGACTTCTCGAACAACTTGTCTCCCTTAGAATTATTCACCATAATCACTAGAGAAAGAAGATAAAGAACTAATATTTAATGAAAGCAGGAAACTAGAATGAAAGCAGAACACCATATTCTAGGCATAGGGTCAAAAATTTTATTTGTTAATATTATTTTATCATCAAAACAAACCCAGTAATATGGGTATTATTATCTCCATTTAATAGATTAAGAAAAAAGGGAACCTAGCATTATGGTACCAATTCTACAACTAAAATTCCTTGATTTGCAGGGTGAGTTCGATACTTTCTAGTTGTATGACTCTAAAGAAGTTACTTAAACTGCCTGTGTCTCAGTTCTTCATCATTAATTGTGGTAATAGGACTTTCATGGAACTGTTGTGAGAATTACATAAATTAAAAAATACAAAGCATATAAAACAGTGATTGGACATGGTGGGCCCAATGCAAGGACTGATAATTATTACGTAGCTTGCTCAGGTCGTAAAACACTAAAGTATTAGGGTTGAAATTTTAAAACTCATGTGCTTTCCAGTCCTCCATAGTCTATATCGAGGACTTCTTTTAAAAGGCTACTTCACTGTATTTTACATGATAACAAAAAATTTAAGTGGGGAAATTGGATAAAATGTATGTTAGTAATCAGAACTTTTCCAGAGTTTAGAGCTTCTGCATGGATAGGCAAAAAACTGAAGATACTCTGGCAACCCAGGGTGTCAGAGAAGAAAGTAAAAGGAAAATCTGTCAATAAATAGTGAGACAAGGAGAGCAAAATTAATTTCCTTCACAATTAATGATTAGCCAGACCTAGATTGCCCATAATATGACACAAATCTTGCTCTCTGATATTGAAAGTTCAGGTCATACAATGGAGGACCTACCAATTTACTATGACTGAATAGAATTCTCCAGGATTCTATTCATTGAAACTCATTGTTCTACATGAACTTTTGCTGAGGAAAGCAAAGTGTTCACATCTGGCCACTCATTTGCTTTACACTCCTTATCATAGAAAATAACACAGACCTAGGCACAGCTGGCAATCCTACAGAGCTGGCCATTTGTAATATTGTGTAAATCCAAGCCCAATATATGTTTAGAAATATGTAATGGATGGAATATGTATACCTGGTGAATTTATCTGCATATCTGACTGTTACTGTACATGTGCAAGAGCCAAGGAGGGAGAGAACCTTGTTTGGGTAATTTTAAACACTGAAGGCTCATCCCTCCCTGTTTTTCTGTACTTTCACTTTAATAATTGTTTCTAATTGTGTTCCTGAAAGAAAAAAGAAAGTCAGCAAGTATTATCATATCATCCATCAGTTCCAAAGGGACTGAAACCCCAGTGTCCTATAATGGTACTTCCTAAAGAATATGTATTCCGGGTCTCCCCAGTGGCACAGCAGTTGAGCGCTGGGTTGCGAAGCTGCCCGCAGCCTCTGCAGCGCCGGTTCGATCCCCAGCTGCTCCCGGGCCACTGGAGGAGGGTCCCACATGGCACGCAGACCTCTCCTGCCGCCCGCTGCTCCCCTCAGCAGTGTACTTCGGTCCTTCTGCCTGCTCTGCTTCCCGCTCTGGCTCTGGTGAATTCTCTCACCCTCCCGCGCTTCTGACTGTACCCAGTGCATGTATAAACAAACAAGCAAACAAACAAATAAATAAATAAAACATGCCTCTATTTAAAAAAAAAAAAGAAAAAACTTAAAAAAAAAAAAAGAATATGTATTCCATCTACTTTATCAGCCTAATAATAACACTATCAGTTACACCAAATATTTAAAGATCTTTCAGTTGTCACGGTGCTTTCACTTACATTAAATAATAAATGTATCCGTAGAAACAGAATTGGAAATAGAGTAGTGACCGATTTTAACTTCCATCTTTAAATACAGCATTTTCATAAGTATAGAAGGAGATAATAATCCACTTAGTTTAGAAGTTCTGGAAGTTTGTGTTTAGAGTCATAAAAATTTAACTTCAAAACAACTTTGAAAATGAACGTCGTTAAACTGAACAATTGTGATGAGAAAATTTTATTTTAATTTAATAGCCTGAATTTTTGTTTTGATTACAAAATAGTAGGACACTTCATGATTTAGGAAAACTCTTCTTTTAAAAGTCATTATTGTTGTATTCTGAGGAATACATTGAATAGTCACATATAATCCAGAAAATGGCATTTGAATTTTCACAGGTTATTTAGAAAAAAAATGTTAAATGTTGCTGCAACCTTCATCTCAAAGTGTAAGACTTAGTGGTAGTTTTGCCTTGGTGATTTATCTATTTAATCCATGGTCATAAATCTTATAGATCACAAGCATTTTGGCTCCAATTTTCTTAGATAATATTGCTAAATAAATCAATGTGTAGGGAGATAGAGATAGACTGGTATAATTATTATGATATATGAATAAAGACAGGAATATAATATTTAAATTATATATATATCAACTTCATCAACTATTTACAGTGTCCACTGTTTGCATAGATTTCTTATCTTGGCGATGTATATATTCTAGCTGTAGATTGTAGTTAGGTAATGAAATTTATCTCTAGAGAAGCAAATAAAAATGTAAATATTTCAAATGTTTTATATTCATTAATTTCTGGCATCACGCAGCTTATAAATTAAATATGATATGAAAGCGACACAAGATTATCTGCCCTTGAACACTTACAATGTGTTTGAATAGATATTACTGAAATCATTACAGATTTCATCAGTTTTAAAATAAGTTAGAAATATTCTTGGCACAAGCCTCATCAGAGTACTGGCCCTTAATAAGTTAAATCTACCAGTATCATTGTGAATATTACTTCTGTGTTTGCATCAAAAATGCTAAATTTTAAACTTTTGAAAGGATAGAATATTTCTAAAGCTGTCTTTTGATTGTATTCAGGGGACCACATTGTATTATTGCTGTTAAAATTAGAACTTATAGAGAAGTATAAATATTCTAAAACAAAATGTAAATTTAAGGAAATATTCAATGCAACAACAGTCTAGAAGTTTTAGAGTGTGTTAGATAATTTAGAGCCCTTTCTTACATTTTTTATACTCAGATGGGTGATTATGTTCTATCTTTTTAGTCTTGTATGCCAGAACGGAATATTAATCTGCAGAGAAATTAAATGCTTGATTATGATCATGTAGCTTGCTTGTGGCAGCACCAATATTAGAACCCATATATTATGATTCACTCTCTGGGCTTCTTCCATATGGGACTGCAGAAATTTTAGCAACAAATACAGAGACATTAGAAAGAAACAAAAAAAAAATATTAACAGAACTTCATATTAGATAAGTTGTGAATGTTCATCATGCAAAATGACTCTCTGGCTTGGAATAGAGTCATATTAACTGAAATGTAAAGAACTAGAGCAAAATGAGAAAGTGCAGGTTTAATTGTTTAGTAAAGAACTAGATATCTTAAAATTTAAATATACCAACATATGTTGGCAAAATTTTTGAGGTATTATTCAGTCTCAGTGATAACCTAGGGTGGTACTATGTTAACTGTTTGCTTTCACAAGTTACCAATATGGAGTATTTTATCACACAGATCCCATTATCCTGTTTTACAAAAGGAGAAAGTCAGGTTTGGAGAAATATAGCATACAAAGGTACAGAAAATAACACAATTCTAATTACAAAATCCAGTTATGGATATTAAATCAGATTTCATTTTATTTGAAGATAATTAAATATGTGTTTGCTTAATGATTCTTCTGAGAATAAGTAGAACAAAGATCATTGGTCTGCAGGAAGAAAAAACTCCTGGGAAAACTGCAGACATTCATGTGTCCTAAACCATAACCATGAAATAATGAGGTTTCCTTCATTCTCTCTTCTTCCTCTCAGTTCTCTATTCTTTTGGCAATTATGCTTGACATTCTCTTTACCATGCTCCTTAATTTCCTCACCAACACTTGGCAGCTTTTTATACTTGTTTGGTTTCTCTCTCCCAGCCCAAGTATTCCAGAAAACAGTTACTTTAAAGGAGTCCACATTGTATATGCAGTCAATATGCAAACACACAAAAACCACCCTTATTCCCTAAACCTAATGTGGAAAGTTAATGCTAGGGACTAAAGAATGGTTATTTCATACCACATCACAGTCCTAAGAGGCAACCCAGTGCCCTCGTGCATTAGTTATGAGAACATTCAAAGATATGTATCGCTCTGCCACTATCAAATAAACATATTTTTGCTCTACATTTTGTACTTTAATGTACCCTGGATTTTATCTTTTTTGTGTGTGTGTTTTTTCTCTTTAAATATTGCATTGTTTTATTTATGATAAGCAGAATCCAATTGTCTGTGGGCAAGGCTAACTTGTATCTCTGTTTATCAATGTCATAAACGTACATATTTGTTCACATATATATCCATGCATAAATAGTATTTAGAGTTATAAATATCAAATAAGTATAAAAATCTATATTCAGACATTAAGAGGGACTACTTCCATGTGCAGATCCTTATATTTGTTCCAAATAGTAGCTTCTTCTTTTCCCCCTATTTGTGGAATATGCCTGCTGGTCTTGGATCTCTTGTGTCTGCTGTGCATTGGAGTGGATAATCCAGGAAGCAGAAAGAACACTCTCTGTGCTGGTGTAGAGCTGGCCAACTAGAGTTAAATGACATAATCTTGGAATGAATTGAAGTCAACAATGATCTTACAGTTCCCCTTTCTGTCACAGAGCAGTTAATTTCACATTTCGCTAAAATCTGTGTCAAGTTGCTGCATTTGCCAGTCCAAATTCTGTAGAGATTTTGTGTTGAACATATTTATCTCATTCTGATTTTATGTTTGTTCTTGAATACCATCTTCTGCATAGCTGTTACTGCAGTTAGAGCATTAAGAGAGTGAACCCTCATTTTATATTCTTTAAAGAATATTGAAGTACGTATACAAATTTTTGAGGTTTATTTAGATGCATTATGGCAAGTAGTTCTATTTCTAAAACTTTAGGTTCACTTAATTCTGATCAGTTTTAGAGAGAAGGAGTTTCAAATTAGAAATCAGAAGCAAGCAACTATAAACCAGAGACACACTACGGGGGAGGGGAGAAGGGAATAGCATCAAAACAAGGGGCGGTGGGAATTGTATGGGGACTATAACCAAGATAAAAATGCATACATTGTGCAAAAATGAAAAATGATGTAAAAAATACATAAAATTTAAAAAATGAAAAAAAGAAAGAATCAGAAGTTCTAGATCCCATGCTAAATTCTCCTGGAAATTGGCAAGGAATTGAGTAAGGATATTAAGGATATTATTGAACAAGGAAAATTATGCCTGTGCCTGCCCCAACTAGCTAATAGGATTTTGTGAAAATTCAATTTTTTTTTAAAAGCACTCTGAAATGTAAAGAGCTAGTTCAATCTAACATATTATTATAACTTAATTTATTCCTGAAAAAAGTATTGATTTTTGCCAGTGCACACATTTTATTTTACTTCTGTCAGTCTTAACTGATGTATGAGTATATTTAAGAACTAGAAACCTACTTTATAAATAGTTTTAAAATATCAGAGGCCTTGTCATGCATCTGTGACATGACTTATAGTAAACTGATTTAGAACTAAAAAATATAATTGATATGCTTTTCTTTCAATCATTGTGGTCCCACATGGGTAGAAAACCTAAGACTCCTAGTTAGAATCATTTTCTCCATGGATGATGAGATCATTACAGAATGCCAATTTTAAAGAAGAAATTTGTCAAAATCCAATCCTTCCTTTTGTGTCTGTAAACAATACCAAATAATGCAATGAGAATGGGTGAAAAGCCTGATTCTTTCCCTTTATTAGACATGACTCTTTTTTTTAAAAGATTTATTTATTTATTTGCTTGTTTATTTATTTATTTATTTATTTATTTATACAAGAACCGGGGTACAGGCCAGATGCGTGGGAGGGTGAGAGGATTCACCAGAACCAGAGTGGGGAACAGAACAGGCAGACTGACTGAAATATACTGCTGAGGGGAGCAGCAGGCCTACAGGAGAGGTCTGCTGTGCCAAGTGGGACCCTCGCTGGCTGGCCGGGATCGAACCGGCTCTGCAGAGGCTGTGGACAGCTGCACAGCACTGTGCTTAACCACCTGCGCCACCAGGGGAGGCCCCATGACTCTTTTCTTCAATACAATCATACTCCTGCCCAGAAAATCACCCATGGTGAGACCCCTTTACGTCAGGGTGCTCTCAAAGGAGCATTTCCCTCAGAACATACATGGATGTGTCTTTTTTTGTCTGTTCATGGCAACCACCAGAAACCATTAATGGGGAACATTTTATCTGGAAAATAGTTGTAGACTCAAGATACCCCACATTTTCTCTGTTTTACCTCAATAGATTTATTTAGACTTCCCACTGAACTGAGATTTTAAATGAGATTAAAATGATAGAAGTACTTGGTTCTTTACAGGACTACTATGAGTTAAATCAGCGGAATATTATCCAAAAATAATACCCATCATCTGATGTGCGCATGAGGTAAGAAAGCCACACAAGTGTCAGGAGCAGAAGGAGATCAGGGCTTACAGTTTTTAATTTATTGTTCTCTTTAATTCATTTAGTCATCAAGTAAGCCTCTACTGGATTGTCCTGTCATATAGAATAGAAATTAGATATATTTAGGGAAAACATAGTGGGAGAAAGTTTAATTGGGGCCCTTCCTTTTTAAAATGGTAGAGCAGCAGAACTAAAGAATTTGAAATGGCTGATTGGTTCTTCAGAGAGCACATGTTAGTCTTGGAGAAAGGGTTCAAGCATGAGAGGTGTTTCTCATGAGGCAAAGGAGAACAATCAGAGTTGAACAGGTTGTTGAAGGCTCAAGCTAAGCTAACATGTAATTACTTTCCTGGTTCCTGACTTGGGGTTCAACTCTGTTTGAGTTAGGATACAAACTGGAAATATGTGCAAAATGAGGTAAATTTTGGGACATGTCAGAAGGTTTGAAATGGCAAGGTTGTTTTGTTTTGTTTTGTCCTAAATATTGGCAGAATATTCATGTTTGATCTCTTCTGAAAGACTTTTGGAAGATTTCCATCTGTGTAAACAGCATGCCCATGAATCAAGGACCCTTGTGCTTACACACACACACACACACACACACACACACACACTCACACGGTAGCAGTGATACTGGAAATAGGACACCACCATCACCACCACTTCCACTATCACATACTGAGTTTTCCAAAATCACTGACAGATTTCTTTGGACTGATCTCTGTTCGAATTCAGTATGATTGGGCTAGAAAGAAAGTACATGAGGCTGTGCTTTGCCAGCCTGGGGAATCCCTACAAAGCAGCTGTATAGTCCCACTTGTTATTGATGATCACGTACCCGGAACAGTCAAAAGTCAGTTAATAACATGTCACAGGGATACTGCTCTCCACTGGGTTATATTCATGTCTGCAGAAATAGCAATGTCATTTCATCCTCAATTGGCCAGACCATAATCTCTGTCTGTGAGACTGAAATGACCAGCCTGTACCCTCTGTCACAGCAGAACTGGAGAAAGAGAAATGAAAATATGCTGCTAATGACTTTGTGTATGTGCTTCTTCCTTGTCCCTGTTGTTCCCCAACAACATCAACATAGCTTTAGCCCGACGTGCCATTTAGACCGCAGTCTTGGATTCATCTGTGATAAATGCCCTGTCGGGTACACAGGACCACGCTGTGAGAGGTAAGCACGTACTACACTGTCTTTCAAAATGATTTCTGTCTTGGGAGTTATGAAACCACAGGCATTATTATCCTTCCCACTACCCCAGAAAAGCTGCCACACTTGTGAGGTGAAATAGTCTCTCACCACATTTGTCAAACAAATGCATTATATTTTTATAGTTTATTTATTCTCTAGAAATTGCTCTATAAATCTGCATTCACTCAGAGAATATTTGATTAATGTTTTAATCTTAAAGGTTAAGCATTAACCTACAATCTTTCTAGAAAGTATTGCTCAAGTGGAAAGTCATGTGCTTTAAGATTTATCTTACTGTCTACCTTGGCACCATTTATTTTTCATAATTAGCTTTCTATCCTTAAAATGTGGTTTAAATGTATAGTTCATAGTTCAGTGAGTGGTCCATAATTTATCTTAAATATATTTGAATATAGAAACAAAATGTAATTTATTTTTATATACTCTTCTAATAACTCCTAAGTCAGTGTTTTAATTCCACTTGATCTTACTAGGTTGCTTTGTAGTGGAACTCTACATATTATTTTTTGTAATGTGTGTTGTTTTTTTTCCTCCTGAAATCTTTTTGATGAAAAAAGTGTTTTCTGTATTTCAATCTCAGTATAAAAGGTACAAACTACCCTTGATATCATTGACAAAAATAGTAACATCTCTCTGGTTTTAGTACTGAAAATAGTCCCTTTTTCTGCCATCATGGTTGTGGGAGGGAAAAAGAGGCAGAGGAAATGACCTGCTTTTACCCATCATTACCAGAGCTGACCTCACAGGGTCTATTTCTGCCTATCTTTTCCTGGCCTCTTGGCAACCCTAACCCCTGTTTCAATCAGGGTGCATGAAGTTAATGAAGCAGCAGCCAATCACCATCACCCAGAGAGAATTTAGCTAGCAGCTAGCAGTGTGGGGACAAAGTGCCAGTGTCAGTTCTTAATAGCAACAAGTACTATGTGTGAGTATGACAGCATCTGCAAATTAGTCATGGAACAGCAGAACTGAAATCAGGAGCTTTGTTTGCAATCAATAAACTGGAGGTCTTTAATTATGTTAAAAAAGGAGGGGGGGTGGGCATGTGTATATTGGTTACTCTCATAGGAGTGCATATCATTGCCGGGACAGATTTACATCAAATGCCTAACCTCTGGCTCACTACAGGCAACCTTTCTTTCAGCAACTGAAAAATGACAGTTCTGTCATACAAGGCCCTTAAATCTACTTATCTAGGTGAGCATAGTCTCTGATGTATTTATATTGCTTAGCTTCATGCTTTCTGTTCTCTATGTATGTTTGGCAGTAGCTTCTCATCCATCTACAATTTAAAATCGTAACAAACATCTTATTAGCAACTACCATGTCTAGGTACAAGGCTCGATATAGGCTATGAACAGATGCATTATATTCATCCTTGCCAGAAAGTAGCTCACATTTTTAATGTGAGTGATGGTTGGTTGGATATATTCTGGAGAGTATTCTAAGTAACAAAATCCACCATAAATAGAAATATCTGACAAAAACGATTATTTCCTGTCTAAAATCTCTATTAATCTGATTAAAAGACTGATGGAAATGTGCATATGCAGTTTAGCAAATGGTATATCTTATTTCCAATTCTAGTTTCGGAGTCAAAAATCATCTTAAACTATTATTATATAGAAGGTGGGCTAGTATATTCTTCTAGTCATAATTTGCTAAGAATATTTAGGGTTTACCATTTCTCTGTATATATGAGTCAAAAAGTCCATTAGGTGGATCCGAAATATTAGGAGAAACCTTTCTTTTGAAATGTACAGATTGAAGAGGAAGGAAGAGAGAACAAGGGTCAGGATAAGCAGATCCTGATTGCATTGAAATTACCGTAATCAGTGCTATTCTGAGATTGGCATAATCAGTTTATGCTCATCTTCTATATAAAATAAGTATGAGAAGGGCCTCCCCGGTGGCGCAGCGGTTGAGCGCTGGGTTGCGAAGCTGCCCGCAGCCTCTGCAGTGCCGGTTCAATCCCCGGCTGCTCCCCAGCCACCGGCGAGGGTCCCACATGGCGCGCAGACCTCTCCTGCCACCCACTGCTCCCCTCAGCAGTGTACTTCAGTCCTTCTGCCTGCTCTGCTCCCCGCTCTGGCTCTGGTGAATTCTCTCACCCTCCCGCGCTTCTGACTGTACCCAGTGCTTGTATATATAAATAAATAGACGAATAAATAAATAAATCTTAAAAAAAAAAAAGATTAAAAAAAAAAAGATTAAAATAAGTATGAGAAAACTAAAGCAGAGTTTTCCAAACTGTAACTGCTCCTGGGATAAAGAGTTCTATGCTTGCATAAGTTTGAGAAGATGTATTAGCATGTTGAAAGTTCTGACATGTCCTGGAGTGAAGAACTCTATTCAGTTTTTTCATTTATCATTTTCTAATCTCATCTGACCATAAATCCCTACCTGTTATTATATAAAAAGAATGTATCTCAGACTGCCACCCAGGTAGACAAGAATTTCTCACATTATATCCAGTCACAATTTAATTTCTATTTTGTAAGCAAATTCTCAATATATAGGAACTTTGAGGACTTGGAAATATCTGTTATGATTTCAAAATAAAATGTCTTTCCCTTTGTCATCACTTCCCAGGTTTGAATCAAAATTCTAACAGGCTCACTTAGTCCTATGGTGCTTCGATGCTTGATCGTGTGTGTGTGTGTGTGTGTGTGTGTGTGTGTGTGTGTGTGTTAGGACAAGAGGTCTGTGATAGGACTACTCAGACCTGAATAATTCACTCACATCTGTTTGGTAACCTCTTCTATTCCCCCATCTTCTGATTTTCCTTCCTTCATGTCTATTAACTCTCCCTTCACACCACTGGGGAGCACGGGACATCCACTGCTTTTATTCCATACTGGACACCCAGTGCCTCTACCCTCAGCACTTCTCTTCCATCTGACTTTCCAGCTCTATCCATTTTGTGTTTGGGAATGAATTGTAGGAAGAGGTTACTGTGAAAGCCCAAAATCCAGAAGATCCCCAAGTTTCTGTTTTCTTCTTTGTCCGATTCCTCCATTCAGTCATGTAGCACAAGATGACCTTCCTGTTTAGATGGAGGAAACACAGGAAAATTGAAACATGAGGATAACAAAACAATATATAACAAAATATTGATTGCTATTCTGTCACATGTAGAAAACAAGTTTAAGTTTGGGAAATTCTTGAGGATGAAGTACCCATATTTTGAGATATTACTACTTTGTTCTGACTGGGGGAAGTTTCAAGCAATAGAAAAAGAAGAAAGTGAGGGAGTATGGGAATGAAGTATTCATCAAGGCACTTTACTAAGATTCTAGGCTTTAAGTATGAGGTCAATATGGAATAGAAAATAGAAAAACAAGAAGACAGTATCTTAAATGACAAAAAGGGGTGTGTGTTGGACCATCAAAACATGGAGGGGGAAGGTGAACTAAATGCTAATGACATCTGCTTTCCTGGACACTAAATTACCTTTACAAGTTTGTAGCCTCAGCCACATATTCCACATCATGGAGAAAGACATTTAAAAATCTATGGCAAGTTCAGCCTGTGGGTCTCACAGAATCATGTAAAATTTAATAGGATATATGCATCCATCAAATCATGCCCCTCATACCCATGGCCAAATTTTAACAACTGCTCTCTAAATAAGGAGAAAGAGGTGAAAATCAAGGCTAATTTCACAGTTACCACAGAATGCAGAAGATATTTGAACATTTATTTATAATTTTATTCACATGATTTATATTCAATGTCAATTCTTTTTAAATTTTATTTTCAAAATTCCATTTGGATATTCTTTGCTTCAGAGATGTCTGACTTTGAATCTGATCACTATGCTAGTGAGGTTTTTTATCCAAGTCTGGGTCTCCTTGAGTCCTGATAAAGAGTATCGGCTATAGAACAGAGAGATGACAATTGTGCCTACTTGGAAATACCATTAGCCAAGCTGTGACTCTAAGAGAGGGTTTAAAGAGCCACCTACCTGTGGTTGTACAGTTTGTAGCCTACATAAAGATACTCAGCAAAGGGGTAGATTGAGATTAAATTCACTGTACACTCTTCTTGCCAGCACACCTACTGTGTTGTGTAGGCTTGTCCTGCTCTGCCCACCATCTCTCCATTTTTCTACATATGTCTAGAGAGAATCTTTGCAAAAAATCACTATATGATTAAATAAGCCATCTCAGTCTGTGTCAAATGGAAGTTAGAAGAATACAGCACTATTGCATAGTGCATGTATCACTTTATAGTGCATGTGCCTCCTCTGTGTCTTTGCCAGTGTTGCACCTTCTGCTTGGAAGACCAATCAATCCCATCCTTGATTAATCCTATTCTGAGATGGTTGCCCTTTGTGTCTGTGTCAAATGGAAATTAGAAGAATACAGCACTATTGCATAGCGCATGTATCACTTTATAGTGCATGTGCCTCCTCTGTGTCTTTGCCAGTGTTGCACCTTCTGCTTGGAAGACCAATCAATCCCATCCTTGATTAATCCTATTCTGAGATGGTTGCCCTTTTCTGTATTCCACAACAGCATTAACATAGCTCTAGTAGTTCACTGACACATTTTAAAATGTTTTTTTCTTTTCCCTGGACTGTAATATGAAGACTGTGACTTCATTTATATCATGTAAAAGTATTCAGACACGTTTGTCTGAGGGAAGAAGAAAAGGGAAAAAATAGAATTAAGCATTGCTTTCAGTTTATAAATAATGGGAATACATAGCCATAGATTTTGGCCAAAAGTTGCTAAAAATGATGACACACAATGAGGTAAAATTCTCACCAATGTTGCTTTCTTCATCCATTGCTGTTTCTTTCCACTTCTGCTCCTCCCTCCCTCCTTCCCCCAACCTCTTTCATTGCAAAGTCATCAATAGCTGTAGCCGTGACACATGGCTGTGTGCTATCTGGAATCTCACTGACATTTAAAGGGTCTCTCTGAATTGTTGGACTTAGATTTGAAAAAATATTAACAAATGTGGGAAAGAACAGTGACTTCATTATGTCAAAATGTTCATCTCTAGGGTCTGTTAAAAAATTTTGACTTGCATGTGAAAATAAAAAGACTTGAAATTTCAAATTACAATTAATTTTAGAAGAGAGAAAATTTGAGAAACTGGAGAGGTCTGAAGGACTGTGATTTATACTGATTTTAATTAGATAAATCTAACTTTATAAACACTATTTTTATTAATAAAAATGATGAGATTGGCAGTTTTGTATTCCATGACCCTGTGACTATGCTCTAATTTCTCTAGAAACTTTTGTGTAAGTCCCTAAGAATACTACTCTCTGTAGAGAAACACACATACACACCACATACATATATTTACCAAGAATAAAATTTGAATACACACTTTAAATAAAGCAACAAATGAATGATCTATTATATATGTATATATAATGACCTATTATATATATATATGTATAGCCAATGAGTTTTTCCTCACACTTCCCTCAACAAAAAAGAGATGCTTTGCAGTTATTCTTTTTATTTACAGTTTTTTTCATGGACTGAAGTTTATTTTTTTAATTATGAGAGAATGTTGGACTCATTATGTGGTATCTATGTGAAGAAAAATTTCCAGTTCTCATTATATAATGCCATCTCTCTTGACAACAGCAAGTCATTTTGAGGAAAGTGAGCTAAAATAATGGGGGTTTTGTTGGCTGTGATAATGATCATTGTATTTTATTTTAGTGGTGCAGTCACTCCTAATGGTAAACAAAATGAGATGTGAATGTTTGTGGATGTGATCATAAGCTCTGACTGCCAAATAAGGAGGAAAATCAGGTTAAAATTTAAAAATTTCTCATTATCTTTATTGAATACCACTCCTGAAGGAATGGTGATGAATTTTATGCACTGCAAGGTTGGTTTTTATTTCATAAAAGGGAATTAATAATTATATTTATGGCAACAATATTCTTCTAATCAATATCTATATAATTTCTTTCAAAATTTAAAAATATTTGTGGCTATAATTAAAACTAATAACCTCAACTTAAAATACATGACAAAAGGTTAATGCTACAAGATTAATGTGGCATCTAGAAATCTAGGAAGCTTAAAATAATCAGTGTGTCTTACCAAATATATGATGTTGCTCCATAATCATGATGTTATTAAAATATCATCATATGATGGATTTAAGCCATTTCTATTTCATCTGGTAGAAAGCATTTCTCTATACAATGACTGACATATCTGTGACGAGATGAACTTAATAGCAATGCAGTATGGAAATTTTCTTCTCCCACATTGTTTTTATTCCCTTTGGATTTTGAACCATGTTGTGAAAGATATTTTATTTTACTGAGATGGCACAAATAATAGAGTTAACTGGACCACAAGACTTCAGATGCCCTATTTTGTTTCTCCTTTGGCCAGTGTAGCTTCATGTATAGCGTGAGAGAAAATGTACCTGAAATAAATAAGATGGAAATCCATGCTGTCCATCAAGGTGTATCTGTGTATCTATAACATTGTAGTATTTTAAAATGTAAAAATTGGATACAGAAAAAATTGATACTGTAATTTTTTATTTTTTTTCAAAGATTTATTTATGCATACAAGAACTGGGGTACAGGCCAGAGGTGCGGGGGGGTAAGAGGAATCACCAGAGACAGAACGGGGAACAGAACAGGCATATTGAAATACACTGCTGAGGGGAGCAAGAGCCGAGTCAGGAGAGGTCTGCTGCACCATGTGAGTTAGCTCCCTGGCTCTGGGGATCGGACTAATGCTGCAGTGGCTGTGGATAGCTTCATAGGTTGCGTCTTAACCCTTTGCACCACCAGGAAGGCCCTGATAATAAAAATTTTTAAATCTTCTCTGTTAGTCTTTATGAATAAACAACTTTTCATTTTTCACTGATATGTAAAATGGCATTCAGATATCATAAGGAAGACCCTGCAGCTGGCTGTATAATATGTGGGCAGTTAAGCCTCATCCTGTGGCATGTTGCCATAGTATAAAAACTTGCTTGCTTCTCAGCAAAGATTCTTGAATGGAAATATGCCTCTGTATGGACATACAAATGCAAACAAAACCCATTATGAATGCAGAGGTACCCACAGCTCTCAATCAAATAATGAGAATCTTTTGACTCACTATTTTCAATTTAATAAATTCTGAACACTCGCTGCTGAATTTCCTTGTGAGCCTGTTTCCCCATAACAAGCTTATGCTGCAACAACAACATAAAAATGTGAACCTTACGTATTTGTACAGTAAACAACCAATTGGAGTAGATACATGTGATGTCTTGTACTACAAAGGCTTTCTACATGGACCTGGATTCCTCGCCAGTGCCAGCAGTGTATTTCTTATTATGCTTTGGTCTCATCTTCAGTGCCATGACAAGTTTTGTGGGTTTTTTTTTTTTTTCTGGCTGAAATCTAATTACTGGTCGGGCTGGCAGGATTTCATCTTGTATCTACACTGCTGTTGTAGAAAAAACATTTTTTAATCACCTTGCATTTGAGAAAAGAAACACTTAAAAGGACAGCTTATCATCCATGGAATGGGGTGGTTTGAAAAATAAATAAACATTGCCCCCAAAGGTTTTTATGAGTTCCTACCAAGTACTCACTGATGCATTTTGTGCTTTAGGTGTGCAGAAGGCTATTTTGGACAACCTTCTGTACCTGGAGGATCATGTCAGCCGTGCCAATGCAATGACAACCTTGACTTCTCCATCCCTGGCAGCTGTGACAGCTTGTCTGGCTCCTGTCTGATATGTAAGCCAGGTACAACAGGCCAGTACTGTGAGCTCTGTGCTGATGGATATTTTGGAGACGCAGTTGATGCAAAGAACTGTCAGCGTAAGTCCTGAACTATTGATGCCCCTGACAAAACTGATGCATTACACCTCAAAGTAGCTGATGAGTCCCTGAGTGGGGATAGGAGAGTAGGAAATTAAATGCAATACATATATGATAGATGCACAGCATATACACAGAGTGTGAACATTCTAAAATATTTCTTTGAACTGAGAGTAAATCCTGGGAAATTGATGCATTGTTGAGGTGTCCTTGTTTTTAAATGATACACATATTTCTGCTTAGGTGTGGAAGATTTTATAATAAACTTAATATATAAGAGTAAAGGAGAATTTGAGAATTAAGAAGGTCCTATTTATCCTTTATTATTTTTCTCTAGTCCAATCATTTGTGTGAAATAAATTTATCTGTCCTTATTATTTCATTTGTATGTGTTAGCTGATGGTATTCTGCTGTGCTTTGATATGTGAACTTTTACATTCTTGCCTTTCATAATAAGTGTAAAATTCTGCCAATATTTTTGCAGACTGGCATTTGTGATTATTGAGTAATTTGTCTTTACCTTAGGACTGTACAGAATACTATTTCTATGTTTTCCTTCCACAAAGTTAAGTGTTGTAATGTTTCATCCATACTAGTACATTCCTCGTCCTTAACTGTATTATTCAATGCTGCATAGAATTAATAAATGTTTTGTGTTAGTCATGATATAATATGCAAGGGAGATCTTATTGTGGAGAATCAAGTGGAATGTAAACTCCTGTTAGCATTCAAGTGCTTCCTGCTGCCATTGCCAGCTTCATCTGCTGCCAAAAACTTTAGGCAAAGCAGAGCAGGTTATGATACCAAACCAAGAGTTCACTTCTGCCAACTTCATTATGTAAAAAGAGATTCTCCAATGACTTAGATGGGTCTCAGTACCTGCAAAACTATAAGAACCACTGGAAATGTAGCTCTGTAAACACCACGACCTGGTGGGGCACCCTATTTCAATAAGAAATTGGTCTTTTTCCTTATAAGTTTGGAAGAGGAGCAGTATACATTTGTTATTTCCCCTTTTTTCTTTTAAAATATAATTCATTTGCCAATAATTTATATAACTGTATAATTTAAGGAGTATAACTTCATAGTCCTATGTGCACCTGATTTGCTCACCTTCCACCAAAGCTCCAGTGCTAATATCTATCACATTCCCTAGCCTGTCCTGTAATCACTTATTTCTTTTCTTTTTGATAATAGCTATTCTAACAGGTATGAAGTATTCTTGTTGTGATTTTGATTTTCATTTCCATGATGATAAGTAATGCTAAGCACCTTTTCCTGTGCCTGTTGGCCATCTGTGTCTTCTTTGGAAAATGTCTCTATTCAAATCTGCCAATTTTTAATTGGATAGTTTTTTTGCTATTGAATTGTATGGGTTCTGTATATATTTTGAATACATATATACATGATATATACATACATTTATTATATGATAGTTTACATACATGATGCATACTTACATTCTACACTCAGTAGAATGCATTTTCCTTTTGTAACATTTTCCTTGGCTGGACAGAATCTTAATGGGTTGACGAGTCCCACTTGTTTTTCCTTTTGTTGCCTTTGCTTTTGCTTTTATTGTCAGATCTCTCTTCTCTTTGCAGCCTGTCGCTGTAATGTCAATGGCTCCTTTTCTGAGGTTTGCCACACTAAGACAGGACAGTGTGAATGCAAACCCAATGTGCAAGGGTGGCGGTGTGATGAATGTAAGGTAAGGAGGAGTTGCTGATCATTGAATTGCTTTCCCTTGAAAATGTTCATTATCTGGCAGTGACATATACCTTAGTGTATTGAAAGACAGGTACAGGATTACCTAATTCCCTATGTAAAATTATGTTATCAGTGAAATGATTTCCCAAGTAGAACAAAATTTCCTGTATAGTAGCATTTAAGCTTCAGTTCATCTTTCCTTGGCAATGAATTTTTATAATACTATCATTCAGATATTTCTGAAACAAATAACATACACATTTAATCTCTGTCTGTAGAGAATAAAATACTCTTTCTTTTCTCTTTAAGTTTTTGGCAAAATAAAATGTCAGACCTTTTGTTTTTAGCAAATTCTTTGTTATAAGTCCATTATTCAAAAGTTAAATGAGCACACTATTTGACAAATATTTTCAGTAGAAAATCTAATCAAGGTAATTTTTAGATACATCATTTTTGCTAAAATAAGACATTAATAAAACTGGGTTGCTCTCTTTCCTTGAGCATATTGTCCCACCTTTGGGGTGATGCGCACACTGAGATTTCCCCATGAGAGTGGATAGATTCATACTACCTTTTTTTTGTTGTTGTTATTTTGTACTCAGTGATGAAGACACTAAAGAAGCAGCTAACATTTCTCAGGTGACCAACTGGCTTTTCTGCAGGAAGTGTAAAGATTATCATGTTTCTATCTCTTAAATAATATCATATGCTCTTTTTTTTGTGTTTGCTTTATTTTTTCTGTTGGCTTTTAAAGGTCAATATGTGGTGGGACCCAGAGAGACGTTTCTGTGTGTCATGTGACTGCCATCCCGTTGGCTCACTGTCACCACAGTGTGACTCTACAGGAAGATGTATCTGTGAATCAGGCTTCATAGGGAAACAGTGCAACCTCGGCAGGCAGGTGCACCGCCAGGAGGAGCTGCCTTGGAAAGCACAACGGGTGCTGGGGTCTCCCCAGAGGTGGAGTTTCAGAAGCTCCAGTGGGTGCCCTCGGGGAGCCTATCGGCCTGCAGCTCCGGTAACCTCAGAGGCGCTGCATGGCTCGTGCCTCAGCATGTTGTGTTCTGTGTGAAGCAGCTGATCTTCCTGGGTGGCTTTTTACCAAATAACGACTGCTAATTGTGCAAATTGCAACTGCCAAAATTAGACAATTCTTGATTAAAGCCTTGCCTTTTAAAAACAGCTATCCATATGCTTTAAAAAGTATATTCAAGTTCATAGATTCATTGAATTTTCAAACAGCCATGCTTAGGTAGAAAACAAAGTTTATTTATAGGAAGCTATGATCTTCAAAGTGGAAGGAAACTTGGACATCATTTGGAGCAAACTCACTTTTTCAAATGAACAAATGAATGTAAAACAAAGAAAACAATTTACCCATGAAAATGCCATCCACTGATCTGACATTTATTTGGCTGATATTTCATATCACAATTAATGGTTTCATTACATGTCTGTATCATAAGTTTGATCAAATGCACAAGAAACATTTTCTCTCACCATACAAACTAAGGAAACATTTTCTACAGCATAAACTTAGTCCTTCTTTTCACAAGGCAAAAAAAAAAAAAATGCTAGGAGGATGAAAGTTGGTAAAGGAGGAAGAAAGAATAATTTGAAGACCACATTGCAAAGTAACAGGAGACAAGATTTGCTAGTCTAGAATCAGAGTCTTGGGAGAATTAAGGGCAGGGATAAATGTATTTTTGGGCATTTGGGTTGTTTCCAAAGCTTAGCTATTATAAATAGTGCTGCTATAAACATAGGGGTGCAGATGCTCTTTGGAATTGATGTTTCTGTGTCCTTTGGGCAAACAGGTCAAATCCCAGCTTCACTGCTTCCTAGCTGTAAAAGAGTTCCTTACATCTTTCTGTAATTCTTCATCTGTAGTGGGACCAACTTCATAAGATTTGTATTTGCTTGGCCGCCAGTAAACAAATGCTGAGAAATTTACTGAGGGAAGTGCTTATGAAGGATGAAGGAAGAATATAGTATGAAGGTGTCTTCTACTGCAATGTAGGGTGAAAGGACAGAAGGAAGGAAAGGTTGGGTAAAAGAGTCTCATTCTGCCAAAATCCAAGACTCATGGCCAGGCCTTTGGGTAGTGCCCACGCAAAATTTGCCCATTTGAATAATCTTCCATTGGACAGAGAGGTTATAGTGGCTTAATATAACCAGTCACTGAGTGGAAGAAGCATGACCTGGTGTGAGTTTTCCAGTATCCACTGCAAAAGCATGGAAGCTAGTGGTTGCTCCACCTGCAGGTATCTCTCACAGGGATTCCTGTGCAAGCACCCCCATATCTGTTTCCAAGTTGTCATGAGAATAATGCATAATACATGAATCTGGAGAATTCTTAGTAAATGTTAGGTATTGTTCCTATCTTCTTTACTATTGTTATTAAATAATGTCTTCAACTCGATTTTTTTCCCAAAAACAAATGTTTTAAATTGTTTTAAAATCCCTTTTAAGTTAAAAAAAGGGGGGGGGGCACAAATGATTAAAATGCCTCCAAATATAAATTTAGCAGAAAGTCAACCCTGATTCAGGGCCATTCCCTATATACTCATAGTGTATAGTGTTTTGCCTGAGGCCATTTTCCTTCTTCAGCATTATGTATGAGTTAAGAGCACAGAAACTTATGCCACACTAGCTGATTTGTAATTCTGATTCCTGCCTGGATGATGACCTTTGACAAATACTTGACCTTTTGTTTTTTAGTTTCACTACTATGGAAAAAGGGGTGATAATAACTATCTCCCAGGACTGTCTTGAGTATTAAATGAATACATATTTGTAAAGGATTTTAGAACACAACACTGCTTGGCTAATAATATTACCACAAGTGAAAATACTTTACAGTAGCTCACCACATTCCCCACTGAGACAATTTAGGCACTCTTTCCCATATTTGTTTTACCATATTAATTTTAATTATGGACTAGGAATGCTTGCACCTTAAATTTGTTACTTCAGGGGCTTTCTATGCCTTCTGAAATAAATTTTGAACATCAAATATTTTAAAATTTTATTACTGAGATTGGGTAGTATTTTTTTTTTTGTATAACAGCTTTTATTTTTTTTTTTTAAGATTTTTTTTTAATTAATAAATTTTATTTTTATATTCCCCATACAATTGCAATCCCCCCAAACTACACTAAATATGAAAGATATGGTAGAGACATTTCTTCTTTATATAATCAACTTGGAACTTTTTGATAATAACTGAACTAAAAGTTCATTTAATATTTTTGACTTATCCATTAAAGTCTATGTGATATATATATATATATACACATACACATATATATCATATATATGCTAAGTGAAGAAAAATTAGAAAATAAATATGAATACAAAGTACTCTTTACAGTTCAGACTTCTAAGACAGGAAAATTTAGGAAATAAAGATGAATGTAAAGTACTAATCTATAATTCAGAAAAATTTTTAAAATGTTATGTTCTAATCCTTTTTCTGTGTATATGTTATTTGTGTGTGTATGATTGGTATGTATGACATTATAGGTGTATAATTAAAATTATAATTATATATAATTTTATGTTCTTTTTTTTGAAATAATACTTAATGCTATATTATAAACTTTCATATCTTTAAAATTTCTTCAAATAGGATTTTAATGAGTGCATATCATTTTTAGCATGAATGCATCATAATTTAATTCAACTTTTTCTTTAATATTGAAAATTTAAGTGAACATATAACACTGTAATACCCAAGCTCATACTTCAGAGAAATGGAGATTTCCTCCATTTCTTATTATTTCTCTATGCCAGATATCTAGAATTCTACATTGAATTGCTTTAATGAATACAAATATTGTTTCAATTTTCATTTATATAATTTAATTTTTAAATCATGCTGTTAAAGCTGTTATATCCTCTCCTTTAATCGAATAATAAAATCTGAATTAAAACTAGAGGTAAAGTAGGCAGTAAATATAAAGATGAAAATGATTATTAAACTCAATCAACCCACATTATATTTGAAAAACAAAACTATTAGTTACAATCATTTTAGAAGACTAATTTTCAGTATACCTTGTTTTTAGAATTTGTTTTTATTACTGTTAACAATAATGGCAAGGATATATAATTAAGGATTATTCAATTCTCTTTGGATGACTCAAATTAAATAGTAAGATTTAATTTTATCAAGATTTAATTATTAAGTCTGATTTTCCAAAATAGGAAAATCATTGAGATGAATTTTCCAGATTAAAATATCATAATAAAATGACATACTTCCTATTTAAAATGACAACCCTGAAGTACTTCAAGTAGGATATGTGCTTTTCATTGTTCTAGTAGGTATGATTTTTTATCTCAGCATTTTCTAACATAACCACTTCTCTAGGTATGGTAAAAGGTCAGTCAAAAGTAGAAAACTTGACCACAGCATGGTATTTGTTATAAATAGATAAGAGATGTGCATGTGAATAACTCATCAGAGAAGGAAGTTTTCCTTCCACTGCCTACTCTGGTTCTTTGTTTTGTGTTTTAAATCATTTCAATTGTTAAAATGACACACAAGAGACTAGATGTTTGTCATATCAGTTATTTTGTCAGTGTAGGCATGACCTGTAAAGTTATAATTCACAATGTAAGCCCAATAGTAATGGTGAGATTTTTGCTAGATGGGTTAAAAAGTCAATTATTAGAGAAAAAAATATTTGATTTTAGGTTGCTGCTCAATCATGTTGAAAGCATTTTTACCAAGTAGAAAAATTTCATAATATCTGAAAGTAATCAATTCAGATTATTAGAAATGAAATAAGCAAAATTTTCAAATAAAATAGAAATACCGTCCATAGCTTACTTTCAAATTGCTATTAGTTTGTTGGAAATTATAACAAAAGATGGTGAACATAACAAACCAAGTGGTAGTGACACTGCCATTGATTTCTGAAATTAATTTCTTCCATTAATTGATGAAATTTCAAAGTAATTGAACTTTTCTGTTTGGATAGCATCAAAAATGTCCATTTGATTAAGTGACAACCCAATTGTCCTAACAGTAAAGAATTTCGATAACCCATACGCTCTTTTCTCACCTGATCTTTTGATATTGTGCATCTTGTTCCACAATGAGTAATTGATATAAATTAAATTATTCTCTCTTCCATGCCAGCCTGAAACCTTTGGCCTGCAATCAGGAAGGGGGTGTGCTCCCTGCAACTGCAATTCTTTCGGGTCTAAATCATTCGACTGCGATGAGAGTGGTCAGTGTTGGTGCCAGCCTGGAGTCACAGGGAAGAAGTGTGACCGCTGTGCCCATGGCTATTTTAACTTCCAGGAAGGAGGATGCACAGGTCTGTAAATAAGACAGTTCTCTGGTTTTGCACAGGTCTGTAAATAAGACAGTCCTATATATTCATTCTCTGGTTTTCACATTTTGACTTCCATACACGTTTTTCATTAGGGTTCCCAGAGATTAAAGGAAAAATATTTTGACAACAGATATATAACACAAAATATTTAACATATAAGTAATGTATATTCATTTTAAACTAACAAATGAAGTAAATTCATCACAATTCAAAACACTGCTCTCTATATAAGTGATGTGAGTACTGAATAAAAATCCATCAGGTACCCCAGTTCTGTGTGTCCCTCCTTGTGTGTGACCGCCACTGAGTCAGTCACGCAAAGACTACTGCAGCTTGAAAGTCAGATGATAATTTTGCTGGTGCCAATGTTATCTTATTTAAACTTGACTCCCAAGCTGACACAGTTGAACTTTTCCTTTGCCTACTGGAAGTTTGGTACAGGATCAGGGAAGTTAGTTTCTTTTTCTGGTATAAAAATATGTTTTCATTTACTTTTAGGTACCTTGAAAACGGTGATGTTCTGAGAAAAAAAAAAAGACAGATTGACTCTGGATATTTGTCAGTTTAGGGGAAAATGTGTCCTGTCACAGCCTCCCCATAAATTATGAGTTAAGGAAACAGTAGTTAGCAAACCACAGATAAAAGAAAAATTGAACATTAGCCTTGACTTATATGCCACTAATTTAGAATTGACTTTTGCTCCAACAATCCCTAGGTTGAATATTACCTGGCTTACCTAAACACACTGATTGAGCGTTGATGAAATTCCTACACTCCCAGCACTTTGATAAACACATAGTTCAATTTTTAAGACAATATCATTGACTGTTGTTGCAAACTTATATGAGAAATGGTGGGAATAAAGTTATTTTAAAAACCAGTATTCTTGAGATATTCTCAATCACTTTCAATATATAGTTTTTATTATAAATTAAGTCATTGTAAATATTCTAAATGTTATAATGGTAGCTCCTCTAAGGATCATTATGTGATCTGTAAACCAATATCTCTATTAGAAAATTATAAAACCACATTATATAACATACTCTGTTCTATAAATCCAACTTCATTAACATTTTCACTTAATATGAATTAATGAAATGGTTTTTATACATTCAAATATAACCACTACCACAAATTATAGGTAAGGCTGAGAACATTATTTAAAATTATGAAATTGTGATAACATTTTAGAAATGCAGATTAGTAGCATTCTAACTACAAAAGTAAAATGGAAAATAAGCCCAAAGTGAGCAGTATGACATTATGGTTGAGAACTTTACTCACTCCAGAGTTTAGACCTGTTTAGTCAATCTACCAGTAACTATTTATGTAATATTTTTTTCTTTTTTTTTTTACAATGTTTGCTTTTTTTAATATTTTATATAATTCTTACATCATTTTTCATTTTTACACAATATATATGCATTTTCATTTTGATTATATTCCCCTTATTTTGACCCTAATCCTTCCTCTCCCCATCCCTTTGTACTATTCATCTATTAATCAGAAAAACAATGGCATCTGCTTCACAGGGGGTTTGTAAGAATTAGTTGAGTAAGTGGCTGTAAAATATTTAGAGTAATGCCTTGCACATAATTGCTATGTGTGTTTATTGTCATAATTATTATCATTATTTCTTTTTATTAGTATTATCAATTGTAGTAAACATTTTTTTGGAAGAGAAAAACTAGCTAATTACTCGCCTTCCTTCTATTTGGTGTTGTGATTCCATTGAAGAATACTATTTAGAGTATTTCTATTTGCAAGTAATGATTTGAATTTCCCAAGATGTATTTTAGCACATAAAGTTGAACTAATGTGAACTCTTTTTTCTTCTTAATAAATGGTATATATCAAATGATCCTTTGACTTCAAATTAACAACAATAATAACAAAAACAACAGCTAACATTTATGAATATTATTCTCTGACAAGTATTGTGCTACACATTTTTCACAGCTTGTATAGAATGTTGTGAACAGTAATTGTGATCTCTTAAAAAGTGAACTTAATCTGATATCCTAAATGACTTCCACTAACACATTTAATCATTATTTAGTTAATTCAAAGTTTTCTTATAACATTAGTCTTCTTTTTTAATTGAAGTATTCAATTGAAAAAAACTTCTCTTGCTTTTCCTTCTTTGATATGAAATGCTTCACTAAAATGTGCTCAGTAGCTGGGTCAACTATAGTTAATAAGTGGCATATATATTCCTTGTCTTGAGTGACTTTGAAATTCTTAAATTTTGGCATTCATTCAGAAAGTGCAATAGGTAGGAATGAACTTTCACTCTTTATATGTCACATGATATAGACAAAATAAAAAATCTATTAAAAAGAAGAAAGACAATGGTAAATAAAAACTCAAAATTATCTATTTCTCTATGCATCCATCCAGCTATCTAAAGTTAACCCTTGAACAATATGGGTTTGAACTCTGTAGATTCATATTTATGGGCATTTTTATCAGTAAATACAAGAAATATATTTTCTCTCCTTATTTGTTTCTTAACACTCTGTCACTTACATTTTTGTAAGAATACCATATATAATACATATAAGATGTAACATATGTATTAACTCTTCTTGTTATTAGTAAGACTTCTGGTCTGGATTTTCTACTGCAGAGGGTTTTTCACCACTAATCCCATGTTGTGCAAAGGTCACCTATGTGAATATGTATTTCTATAATTCAACTATGTTTAAATATTAACAACACTGAAATATTCTTATGTGTGCCACTAATAATCATATATATGATTTACTGAATTTCCGAAGTCTATTAAATGTATTGGTATTTGTTGAAAAAAAGAGCCATCAATAAGAAGGAAGTATTGATCTGTACAGCACAGAAAAGTTGGTTATGAACTTAAACATAGAAATAAAATTTTTAAATAAAAATTTGACATTAGGTAATATAGTTAACATAGACTCTGACACACCAATTCTTCTTTAAACTTAGCCAAAAATCTAGAAATGACTTCATTTAAAAATGAATTACAATATATATTTATTAAATGACACCTTTGTGAAGTATACTGTACTATGATATACAAGATGAGTGAGGTAAGTTTTTACTTTCAAGGATCCTTAACCATAGGATGGAAACTAAAATAACATAAGTCACAATATAAAACACAACACTTTATAACAAACTTCTACTTTATTTTTTCCTTTGCTCTTTCACCTGTGAAGCTTGTGACTGTTCTCATCTGGGTAATAACTGTAACCCAAAGACCGGACAATGCATTTGTCCTCCCAATACCATTGGAGAAAAATGTTCTAAATGTGCACCTAACACCTGGGGTCACAGCATTGTCACTGGTTGTAAGGTAAGTTGCTTTATTTCATCTGATAATGTATTTTTTAACATTTTTATTTTAGAAAAACTCTATAGTAGGACAATTCAAAATCCAATATTAGATTACAAAACAATATAGAACTATTGCTATAGAGTGATTGCAGATATTGATCACTATCTTACATTTTATCAGTGGTAAAGATGATGACATAGTACATGCTTACATAGATTGATCCATGATAGCTACCCAAAAAAGGGGAAAGAACGAAAACTATAGTAAAACTGTTTATACTTAGAAAATAGTTCTAACCTCATAACTAGACACAGTAAGATGTATCTTCAAGGTATGAGAAATTAGGAACTGATAATAGAATTTGCTAAAATTCAATGAGAATTGCCTTTAATACAAGGTTTTAGTTTACAAGAAGTAGTTAAGAAGATTCATAAGAGTCATAGCAACCTCAAGCGTCATTACCAACCTCAAGTGGGTAAACCATAGAAAATAGTGGCATGTGCATACTCAAGTTTAGAGAAATCTATACTCAAGTTTAGAGAAATCTATTCAGCATCAGAGTGAAAATTAAGAAAGTAACATAACTGGTGTAAAAATATTGGTGGCCTGCACCCAAGCTCTTATATGCATACATAAATAAATATTTTAAAAAAGAACAACAGCAGTATCTAGAGCATTGCTATATCTCTCTATGCTAGCTGTTGGGAAAATGAATTATTATAAACTTTCTGTGAACTTAGGAATTTTTTTTTAGCATGGAGTTTTCCAAATGTTTCTTCTCCAAACAGAGAATTTTATCCTAGGCATGCACAGATAAGTACTCAGTCAAAAGCTGAAGGGGATTCTTTTTCAGAAATCTGAAATTCTCTCTGTGTAACTTACTCCATTTTGGACACATATTCTGTTTGCCTTCATGAATTCTAACTCCCTCAGCATCTTAAACTCTCTCAACTCTCTCTTACATTGTCATTCTGGGCTTTGTCTGGTTTCCCCTTTCTGTGTTGCAACCTAAAATCTGCCTATCATGCCGCCTTATTTGTTTTCCTTCTTTCAGAAGGCACAGTCTGGTGGTTCCTGTTATCCGATATCTGAAAGCAGTTGTTTCTTGATTTTCATCTTATCTTGCTTTTGGTTTTGTAGTCTAATCACTTAAAATAGAGGAGGTAAACTTGTGTTGTAAAAACTAAGATACTATTTTAAAAGAAGGAGTATTCTATGATGCCTAATGCAACACAGAGGCCAAGTAGGATTAAGGATGACCTGGGTCCATTAAGTTTCAGATCAATATACAAAGGAATGTTTGATATTAATGAGAGTCATTCAAATTGATTACATTGGCTTGAAGAATATTAAAACATGGTGACTAAGTGTGGACTGTTTGTTTCCATGGTAGAATCCTATAGAGATGTAAATTATTTTTTCAGTATGTTCACACATATCTAATCTATACGCTAACATTCTGAATATGTTGGTTTAAATATGCTGTTTTAGGGAAAAAACTGTATTGGTAATTGTTCAAGGAAGTTCAGATATCTGGTTTCAATTAGATGTGTGATTAGGTTTAATGAAAACTAAACAATATACTCATTTGTCTCTTGCCAGTAGTACTATAAAGTTTTTTGATGAATTGAACATTAAAAATTTCTATGACTGATACTTAATACTTTCCACTTCAAATCCAAACCTCGCCTAATTCCTTGAACTCATGAATAAGCCATCAGGAGACATATGAGGGTTTATTTCTCTTCACAAGGTCCTTTTTGATGTGGTCAAACTCTAATGAAGCTACTGAAATTGAAACTGATGTCTAATTTTCTGAATTTTCTGGACATAAACCATGATGGAATATAGACCAAGTTTCTAAAAAAAAAGTTGTGTGTCTGATACCAGTGTGTATATTAATCATGAGATAAATATGTTTATTGAATTTTTTATTACTTTGAACCTCTGTTAGGAATGTAAATAGCTCTTTTATCATTATGAACAATTACAAAAATTTCATGAAGCCCTCACAAATATTTGTGTGCATACAAGTAGTATTTTACTACCTAAGCTGTTTGAATGACTGTCACCTAAATAAGAAGTGATTTGAGATTTATAGCTTCCCTTTCTTTGTGTCATGAATAATTTCTTTGTGCTGAGGTGTGAACACACACATCATTTGATGTTTTATTAAAATAGAATACAAAGCCTTCTGTCTCTCACTAGCAGGGGAATAATACATAAATCCTCTATTGCTAAACAAACATTACATGCAGTTATGATTTAAGTTTGATATTGCCTATAGTGTTACTGAAACATGGTTAATGGTCTCCTTTTCCACTATAACTTCCTAAAGAATCTTCCTAAATTGGAAATGTCCTAATGTCTATTTGTACTATCAACTAATACTTGGGAGTTAGTGCTTTGGTTTTATACAATAAAAATTGAAAAGCAGACATTTCATGTATTAAAATATCTCACAAGACTTTTAAAAATGTATTGCATGATTATAGCTTGCATAACTTTTCATACCTTTTTATTTCTGATTGTGGCCCATTTTGTTTAAGAGAATCAATAGAAGATATTTAAGTGTATGTCAATCATCTTTATCTTGAATTCTTATTTTACACCTGATATTCCAATGAAGAGTTACTTGGAATGATGGCCATGGGACAATTCTATGCCTTGTATATTCTCTATCAGTTTTGTAATATAATAAATAATCACATTTTGCATATTTGAGTTTAACATTACTTTTAGTAGCATTCCCTACTGCAATTCTTTTCACTGGATAACAGTGAGGACATAGAAAAATATTTACTCATCTAGACACCCAAGACAAGACTTGGTGATTATTTTAATATCAGAATCTGGAAAGATATTTCACCAAATATCTGGTGATTGTATATCACCTCGTCTTATAGAGAATAGTCCCAGAAGTAAGCCATTGTTGACAGGAGCAGAAGCAGAAATATCCCCAATAGTGTTGGATGTAAGAATTAAGTTCAACAGTAAGAATGTGTGACAAACAGAAAGTAAAATGCAGCCAGACTTGAATCTGGAAATTTGGCAAATTGCTGTGCATATGAATCTGCCAAAGAGCTATACATCTGAGAAGGATAACATAGAAATCCAAAAAAAGCATCAGGTCACAACATGTAAGCAATATACAGTAGCAAACCCTGACACAAAGAAATGTGACACCCATTTGGGTGTCATTTCAGGACCTACTTAGGAGACAGAAATGACACTATTACATTCTGTCCTATTACTACAATTGGACAGAAACACAATATACAGGGTTCTGAGGTACTAGGTACACAACGTAATTACGTCTAAAGCTACTTGTAGCCTGAGAGAGTGTGGAAAATTAAAAAAAAAAAAAAACTAAACTAAACTGAGGGATAGAAGAGGACACTTTCCTCTCTGCCTCAGCCCCAGTCCCAGCAAGGCCGAGATGCAGACCTCTTTGAAGAGAATTGGCTACCACACAGACTTCTAGCAGCAAAAGAAAACCAGTAACAAAAAAGGTTGGTAGAATTTGTGGTCAAGTCTGGACTACAGATCTGCTCAGCATTGTTGGAGGATGTGGACATGCTAAGTGACTTGGAAGAAGCATGCCGTGGTCAGAGCTGCCATGCCTTACTCAACACTTGGTTCCTCTGCTGTCCACCTCCCTCAGCCTAGAAGGAGTGGCTGCCCTTTCATACCTGCTACAGACTTATTTTATCCTTAGTCAAAGCATTGGTGACTAATGCTGCTCAGGAAGCTGCCTACAGAAGAGAGGAGCCTGGGGGCACACTAGCCGCTGAGCTCCCAGCGAAACAATAAAATAACAGTAATGATGATGGTAATGAAGAACCAGAGCCAAGAACATAAGTGTCTTCCCACCACTATGACCTTCATGGGTCCCTTTAAAGCCCTCTGTTGCCCAAACCTAATATTTTGCTACCTGGGCTCACAGAAATGCCCACAAATGCCCAACCACTTTATCACACAGCAGGACAAGAAGAGTGACTCCGGACCTCAGAGACAGCAGATTGATCAGGAGCACAGCTGGTCTCTGGGAATGATTCATCCCAAGATCTTAAATGGCATTTTAGAAATCCACATGGCATTTTAACTAAATTCCAAGAAGGTATGAGTTCTGTAAATCAAGAGCAGAATATCTTAAAAGAATGTTAGACCAAAAGACATGTGGATGAGCAGAAATTTAACATGGATGATATGAAATAAAAAAAATAATCAAAAGAAGTTAAAATGCATAGTATAATTAAAGTAAGCGTTGTTGGTACATACATACAATAGAACTGTCATGTAAAGTAAGAGCAGTAAAATGGAGAACAAATTAGAAGCAAATGGGAAAATGACTGCAGAAGATGCTGGAATACTATATGTTTGGCAGACAGACAAAAGTGATGTGCTTTAAGAATTATAGGTGAGCTTGAAAAAGAAAATAGGTAGATTAGAGCAGAAGTAAAAGTCAAAAATTTGAGGAAATAGCACTGAATCATAAAACAATTTTGTTGTCAAACTAAAAGAATTCAACATGTCCCAGAAAATTAATGAGAAAAGACTCAAGCTTAAAAATTCTAGGAGAATTTTAAATTACATAAATGAAAAGAAAATCCTATCTAAGACGAGGAAAAGATGTTGCCAACAAAGCACATCAAATCAAGCTTGTCTACAAACTAAATGCCACAAACCAACAACCCAGATGTTACTTTTGCTCTAAATTCACTCTGGCTTCCCCACATCTGGTTTGGTGCTCCTTCTATGTTCTCATGGCATTTTTCACATCTTCTATTATGTAATTCCTATAGTATGATGTCGTATTCATGTATTTACTTGTCTACCTCCATTAGTCTATAAGGTATGTCTATATACAACTTAAGTAATATAAACATGATAAGATAAAGCAGTTTTGCCTAAAGTTCAATCTTTGAAACAGTTTAGATTTCTCTGTTTTCTCTAAATCTGTACCCACCTCCTTCTTTCCCCCACACCAAAAACAGAGAGAACACATTTTCTTTCTAATTTAATAGCATTGTGTCTCAGGACACATATATCTTACTAAATGCAGGAAGCAATTTTAATGTTATGTTCACTGATGTTTCCCAAGCGACTAAACTAGAACAGTATAAAGCATATAATAGACACATGATTAATATGTGTTTAATGGGAACATAAAAACATTTGAATTAAAATTTTAAGATGTTTCCCATGAAATGGTGTTTGTTAATAGTTACTATTTTTATCTCGTCCATAGGCATGTAATTGCAGTTTAGTGGGATCCTTGGATTTCCACTGCAATATAAACACAGGCCAATGCAACTGTCATCCTAAATTTTCGGGTACAAAATGTACACAGTGCAGTCAAGGTTATTGGAACTACCCTCACTGCAGTCCCTGTGATTGCTTCCTGCCTGGCGCTGATGACTCGACCTGTGATTCAGAGACAAAGCAGTGTTTCTGCAGTGATCAGACTGGTCAGTGCACTTGTAAGGTATGTATATGCTGCTGAAACCTAGAAAATGTTCACACACTTCTATTTCCATTGCTCAGTTTTAACGTCATTCAGTATTCGTTAGCTCTGGTTCATTAAGCTAAACAAACAGATACAGAGAAACTCCTGATAACAGTTTTTGTTGCCATATGTTCATTAACATACAGATAAGCACGGCTTTTTGAGCCCTTATTTTCAGCCAAAACCTAACTTTTTTCTAGTTGGCAGAGATGTTGCATTTTCAATGGGAAAGTTATATTTTTCTTTACATATTTGCAAGAATAATCAGGGAGGGAACAAAAAGAGGTCTTTTGAGCATCCTCAGTGAAAATCACAGCTAAATAATAAGCTTTGGAAAAAATACATTTTTCCAAAAACTAATGTGCAATCACTGTACACTAAAAAATATATTTACTGCTATGGAAATTTTCAGTAAAATTTCATCACATATAAGTACTGACATTACAAACAGTGACTATGTGCAATTTTCAGCCCTCATTAATATTGTTAAATGATGTAGAAAAACAGCCAATTAAAAAGGATAAGAGGGATTTTCACCCTTAAATATTTGTAAAAAAAAATCAATCTCAGAAGAAATGCAGTTAAGTCTGTGTCAGAGGCATCTTTTCAAGGAAAAGTCTATGGAAAGTGGGACAGAGGAGACAGGAAGATAAAATTTTTTGAGTGGCTGTTACAATAGTCTTAAGAATTTAGGAATGGCCTCCATAGTGGTGCAGAGGTTTGAGTGCAGCGCTGTGAAGCTGTCTGCAGGCTCTACAGCGTGGGTTCGATTCTTGGCCGGCCAGGGAGATGCTCACATGGCGTGGCAGACCTCTCCTGTCGTGCCCTCTGCTCCCCTCAGCAGTGTATTTCTGTTGTCTACCTGTTCTGCTACCCACTCTGTCTTTGGTGAATCCTCTCATCCTCCTGCGTCTCTGACCTGTACCCCAGCTCTTGTATAAAAATAAATATTTAAAAAAAAAAGAATTTAGGAAAATGACAGTTTTGTCATTAACTGGCCCAGACAAAGCACAATACTACAATATTACATATTCTAATTATGATAATACATTATATTTAATACTTTTGTGCTTTTCATAGTCATAATATGTATATGTACATTTTTATAGACTGCTTGTTTCTTACAACTTTTTCTAACACCACTGTCTCAGAATCGATGGTTATATTTTGCTTTCAAAATTCTCATGATTCATATTGCTCACAGCAAAATTGTAGGAAACATGTAGTTTACATTTTAAAAATAGTCACTATCTGCAGTAATTTCATATTTCTATATAAAGCATTGTTAGATTGTTGAAATCCTCACGATGAGATTAGCTATGTATGCCATTTGACATGTAAAACTAATACCAGAGTTTTCTTTTTTCTTTAATTTTCTCAAAAATGTGTGCTTTCCTATGATTCATTCTCAAGTACATTTCTCTCATCACATCACTGAACAACTCTGAGAAGCTCTCATCTTTCTTCAGGTGAATGTGGAAGGTGTGCACTGCGACAGGTGCCGTCCTGGAAAATTTGGACTGGATGCCCAGAATCCGCTTGGCTGCAGCAGCTGCTATTGCTTCGGCGTGACTAGTCAGTGCTCTGAAGCACAAGGACTGTTCCATACGCGGGTGAGTGAGGAACTACTGAGCCATGTAATGGTCTAATGTTAGTTCCTGCTGGCATCTTGTAGCCAGGCACTGAGGGGTAGGAGGAAACAGCGAAACATTTAAGTAACCTTTTCCCCTGTGCACATTTAGAGATGTCATGGGGGATATGTGCCATTAGACAGTTGGAGTAAATGCCTTTTAATCCTTCCTTTAAAAGAGTTCATTTATTTATTGACAAAGAAATAGATGCCAAATTAAAAAGAAACATTGTAAGGGAAGTCATTTTGTGACTGTGAAGAAGTTCAATTCTGAAGAGTGAGGGTGAAGGAGTGATAACACAGCAAGGAAATCCACAGCTTGTTGCACGTTTATTCCAACCAGCCTTAGGGAATCATCTATTTTTAGAGTGGAAACATGTTCACTTTTACCTCCTTCTTGTTTTAAATTCTACCTTTCCTTGGTGTAAAAGACTCCAGTTTTCACAAATGTACTTTTCACTGTGCAAACAAGTCAAAATCATTCTCCCCTACTGCTCACTACTCTACATTTAAGTTCTTTTTCTTGTGAGAATGTTACATCAGCATGAGCATGAGGCTGAAGATAGACACGCAGTCCATAGTATAACAGCATTTAAAAGTTGTGCCCACGTCTTTCACTCGGTCCTTTGCATGTTCTGGTCCCACACAGGTGACTCTGAAGCCTGAACAGACCATTCTGCCCCTGGTGGACGAGGCACTGCAGCACACAACTACCAAAGGCATTGCTTTTCAACATCCAGAGATTATTGCACATATGAATCTGGTGAAACAAGATCTCCATTTGGAACCTTTTTATTGGAAACTTCCAGAACAATTTGAAGGAAAGAAGGTAAAGATGAGAACTTTGAAACCATATGAGGACAAAGTAAAATATATTTTATATTTTGAAGACATACCATTTGGGGATTTATTTAACTCTTTGCTTTATTTTATCAGTTGATGGCCTACGGTGGAAAACTCAAGTACACCATCTATTTTGAGGCTCGGGAAGAGACAGGTTTCTCTACGTATAATCCTCAGGTTATCATTCGAGGTGGGACTCCTACTCATGCTAGAATTATCATCAGGCATATGGCTGCTCCTCTAATTGGCCAATTGACAAGGCATGAAATTGAAATGACAGAGGTAAGGTAATTAGCTGTTTGGTGCAAGGACACCAGTGGTTTTGCATTCTGTTTCATCAACATGGTTTCTTTTCTTGTTAACAGAAAGAATGGAAATACTATGGCGATGATCCGCGTGTCAGTAGAACTGTGACCCGTGAAGACTTCCTGGATGTACTTTATGATATCCATTATATTCTTATCAAAGCTACTTATGGAAATATCATGCGACAAAGCAGGTAAACTATAGTGGACAATATCCTAGTTAAACTAATATTCTAGACTGTATAGTGATGATGAATATCAGACAAGAAATATTTAAAAGTGATTGGTTTGGGACTGATTATAGAAGATATATCAAGGACACCTTCCAGGTCACACAGTAGAAGCTATAGTTATTACTCCCAAAGAGGAAAATAAGACGAGAACCAAATTTAAGTGGGAAAATATTGAATTCACCTTAGAAAGGTTAGAAAAGTTAGATGTCAGTTAGAAATTCAGGGTGAAGATGAGCTATACATCAGATAAGTGCTGTGTTGTATGATGCAAACTACTAAAATGACTCCTTAAACCCCCAGGCAGAGCCAAATTGGTCTCCAGTCTCTTCCAACCATGAGCGTTCTCATCTGTTCATTCTAGTATACCCTAAAATATTGTCATTTCCCCTAAGCATCATGATGTGAAAAGGTTGGAAACCACAATGAAAAGAACAGTAAGAATGAACATAGTATTATGGAAGCCAAAGCATGAGACTGCCTCAAGAGAGTGTTCAATGTTTTCATGTGGTACTTAGGACCAAACTGGTGACAGTCATAATTGTAGCCATAATTAGTAACTCACTGGAGTCCTGGGGCAGAAATAGGATCAGAATTTTAGGGAATTAATGGACTCAATGAAGCTAATATTATGAATAGAGACTACTGTTTTCCACAAACATAATGTAAATGAAAGAAAATGAGATAGTGACAAAGGTCAAGAGATGATTTTTGAAGAAGCAAGCTTGTTTACAGAAATCAGTGGCAATTAATGTTTTAAAAATAGAATATAGAATAAATAAATAATGGAGAAGATAGACTTCAATATCACTCATACATATGGTCATGTTCTTTAAATAGAAACAATAACATAGCTAAAATAAATAAATGAGGAATAAAATAAATGAGATAAAATGAGGAATTGCACAGAATGTAAAGTTTTATACTGTGGAGACAGAAGCTGAGGTTGTGTACACAGTCTCAATTTCTCTGGTATGACAGTTTCCTGTTAAGTCTTGTAGGAATATGGAATCAATAGATGTTTGAAAAACAGTCTCATACAATAATTTAGTAGACTAGTCCAGGAAAACAAAAGAAATAAATTATAAATCCTCTCTCATTTGTAAACTAATGAACATAAAGATACAATAGTTCAAAATTTGCATTGTACTCAGGAAATCCTGCTTCTGTATTGCATTAGAAGATTGAAAATAATTTTTGGATTGTACTAAAAGCAGGCATTGTTGGTAAAAGAGTATATATCCAGAACTAAAAATCACTTTCAAATATGTATTCCTTTGGTTTCTTTTATACATTTCTCACTTCCACCAGGAGATTATTTTATGTGAAATAATAAGGTAGCATGTATAAAATATACTTTCAGCTCTATTGCTAATTACTTTAGAATAATTAAATTTAGAATATAAAAATTATTTTAGAATATCAAAATCAGGGGGTAGAAGCCAAAGCAGGTTTTCATGGTGTAAAAGATAGCAGGTAACTTTGTGGGTGTGCAAATATGTTATTTTGCAATTTATTCTGTGCTCCAGTAAAAGAGGTTGGTAGCACACAGAACATTTTGTTAGTGGAACTGATAGAAACTATGCTATCATGCATTTTCCATTATACTTTCATTGCCTCTCTCACACTGATTCCATTTTCCTATATTGTGAAGTTTTTTCCCCCATAAGTCTCCTTCCCTTATCACCTTATTTCACTAAACAATATTTTTGACTTAAGAGATCAGTTTTTGAAAGTTTAGGATACTCTTTAAGCTCAACACAACTAGAATCATAGCCTAGCAAGAATAAGAACAGATAAAATAGTAAATAAATAGCTCTTGAATTCCTAAAACAGTAGAATTGTGACAAAAGTCAAAATATATACTTAAATATTGCCCCCAGGATAATTAAGACATAGTCCTGCATCTTTATTCAGTGACAAATGTTGTCTCTGGCCTCTGCAGTGCGGATTCGATCCCCAGCCAGTGGGCGAGAATCCCACATGGCGCAGCAGACCTTTCCTGTTGCGCCCGCTGCTCCCCTCAGCAGTATATTTCGGTCGTCTGCCTGTTCTGTTCCCCACTCTGTATCTGGTGAATCCTCTCACCCTCCGGTGCCTCTGGCCTGTACCCCAGCTCTTGTATAAAAATATATAAATCTTTTTTAAAAAATTAAAAAAAACAAATATTGTGTCTGAATTAAGAGTTTGAGTTATGCATGTCTTTTGAGATACAGACTCAGTACATTTTGTCAATGCTGAAATCTTCTCTTGGCTTATGTCTCTTACATTTATTTGAAGAACATAACAACTCTGTATTTCAGTATTCATTTTAAATAGAAGCCTGATTTTGGCAAAAGCCTTGATTCTGGCAAGGAATTTGATCTCTAATCCTCTGAGGGGAAAAAAAATGTGTATTATGGAAATATCTGCTGATGACACCATTCAAGTTCCACTTGAATTTTGAATATTGACTAGCCTGTTGTGTGCATGTCTATATGAGTAACTCTTCAGGTTATAAAATGCCATGTGATGCCAATGGACATAAGTTGCTAACAATCACTGACTTACCTTATTATTCCCACAGAGAATCCAGGAGAACATAAAGTCTTTCCTGTAGGAGGGGAGAATTTTGTATATAGCTCCCAACCACTGTGTGTTCTATAAGGAGGGGAGAGTAAATCTGAATTTTAACTAAACATGTTCATCCTAAAGGCTGACTGATCTTCAGCATAGATTGTGATGCTAGTGAAGCCAGAATGTGCATTCATAATTCAGTGTCAATAAAACCTACCTATGCTTGTTATAAAGTTTATGATTCAAGCTCCCCGGGCTATTGGAGATGCCTTTTATTTAAGCAAAACTATCCATTGGCCCATTTAAAAGTTTATTTGCAGAACATTTTATGTTGCCAGTTAGTAATATAGTAGTCTAAGTTTATAGATGTATATATTTATAATGTTTAATTTCAAATTAGTGAAAAGGGTATCAACATTTGCACTGTGAATAATTTTTCAACTAGGATTTTGTCATAAATAGGAAGGCTAAGTGATTTGAAGAATTTGATAAACAAAAACTTCAAAAATATTAGATTATGCTCAACCATTTTCTAGGTGGTTTTCTAAAGTTATTGAAAGGACTTTCAGACACTCAAGAGGAAGGAATCAGGACAATTGTAAATTAAAAGCAATTTCACTAGTCACTACAGGGGATATTCTAATGGGGAATGACCTTGGGTTGTCTGTTTGAAAGAATATAACTCTCTAATTAATTGGTCATGTTCACCTGAAACCACTCACATTTTTAAAATTTGGGGTAAATTTTTATAATAACTTCTCAACAGGACATCAGACATCTAATTTACAAAACTCCTCATGATTTATGTGAATAATTTGCTAATGTATAATCTCAACATTTGAGGAAGTAAATATGCAATAGTAAGATGTGCAACATGAGTCCTGGAATTTAGGCAGTTTAAAAACACTAGAACAAATTTGTGATTAATGACAAAACACAGAGAAGACTCTTCTTGTACAAATGAGCACTTGCCAAGTGAGCATAACTTGCTGGTATAATAATACAAATGTATGCTCATTGTTTCCAGGATTTCTGAAATCTCCATGGAGCTAGCTGAACAAGGACATGGAATAGCAGGGGCTCCTCCAGCTCACTTGATAGAAAGATGTGACTGTCCCCCTGGCTATTCTGGCTTTTCCTGTGAGGTAAGGTGGCTCCTCATAACTTACTTAGGCTCAACTCACTTAAACTGTCAGATGGAAATCCCTCAGAACTACTTTTGCTGCAAATAGTTTTACTTTCATGCATATTCTTAACCTATTTTATTTGGTCTTCCACTCACAGCGTGGGACATAGTAAGATGACGATGATGATGTTACCTTGAAGTAGAAATTACAACTGAAGGGACATATTTGATAAAAATGAAGATTTGTGAAAATATGAAACAGGAAATAATGTTTTCACAAGGCCCATTTTTTGTATCTGATCTATTTTCTTGTCACTGTTCTAAATAGCTAATTTAAACTGCTGTGATTATGAAATAAGATTATATTGAATTTTGAAAGGTGGTTTTTATATACAGCATGACAAAGCTTAGACACTAAACAGCAGGCTGTTCCCTTCACACAGTCTTCTCAGATGACCTCTGTTTCAGTTAGTGCCAGTATTATCCAATTTTTATTATGTATTATTTTATTATGTATTGTACATTTTTATTATATATTATTTTAGTCACTGTAGCTTTGAAAGTCCTTTGAATTTCTTGAAAATAGGCACATTTTCTAGATCTTCCTCTTCTGAATGCCAGTGTATATTCTACAAATACCAAATATTGCTAGAAAGAGGATAATATAAGGAAAAGTGGAATGGATGAGAAACTGGCCTGGGTCTGAGTCTCTACTTCACTATGTGCTGGACTGAGACAGATAACTAAGGCTGACAGCATGGACAGCATGGATTCTTTATTATTAGTCATATTGGGTGGTGTCCATAGCATATTAATTAGATATTTTAATATCTCTGCCATAGTCAAATCATTAAATGAAGATTAAATGAGTTATAAACTAAACTACTTATCACAGTGCCTGTTGGTAGTCAGTATTAGTTGATGGGGTTAATATTGTTATTAATGGAATAAGTAGTGATACATTAATATGTTGATTTCTTTATAAATAATTTAGACATCTTTTGTAAATAGAATTTAAGAAGTTTCATTAAATGTGGTAGGTGAGGCATGTGATAGTACCAGATCACAACTGAAGTACAACTTAAAAATAAGTATAAATCTCTTGAGAGGTGGCATGATACAATGCAAAGGAAAAGGACTTTGGTTCAGGTAAATCCTACCTAGCTGAACTACTTGGATACTGTGACTCTATTTCCAGACCTCAGTTTGTTTTTTTTTTTTAATTTATGCACTCATAATGAGCATTAATTTAAGTGAAAATATATTTGTGAAAACCCCATCGTAAATTGAAATGCTATTCTGTTTAGTTACCGTCTAATGGATTCCATGATGTTTAAAAACAATTTCATAAGAATAATTGTAAATATATTGGGAAATATTCTGTAAATTCCTTATGGTTTTGCTTGTGACTGCTCAGGAAGGCAATAGTAGATAGACAGACAGACAGACATATAATGCACATATATGCAGAACCCACCCAAATATACATATACACACACCATGGGTAAGTGAAAAAGGAGACAGTGAGTATAACATGTATAAATATGCTACCTGTGCAATGAGCATGAAAGATTTAAAATAGGAGACAAAAAAATACTTGAGATTTTTCTAGATAGAGATGAAATTTTATTTATCCCAAGTAGTTGTCAGTCATACTGATTGGTCAATCCTTTAATTCCTACCAATCCTAGCTATTATGTAGTTATCCAGTCTATAAAATTACAGGCTGGGTATTGAAGTCCTAAATTTCTCTAATCCTGCAATATCATTTTGCTATAGAAGATATCCAATAATTCATCAAGATTGACCTTTAGAGATCTTAAAAAGGAATTTGCTGCAACTATGTATTTTCTGCATTAAAAAAAACACTGTTCATTTTTGAAGAGAAATGGTAGTTGTGTAGCAAATTACTTTAATTCAGTCTACATCCATTCCAGATTTTAAATAATAAAAATTCTTCTTGTGATCAATAGGCTTTTAAAATCATAAATTCTTAACATGCCTTTCAATTAATTTTAGTAATTTTCCATCATTATATGAAAATATAAATTAGCACAAGTAATACAAATGATAAATGAAAAAAATCAAAAAGAGATTGGGTATACATACAAACTGTCTGCATTGGTGGCTTCACCTATGTCCTGTGAATTTCACTTAAATTCCTATTTACAGACAGTAATTACAGTAATATTTTAGTAGTGAGATTATAGGGATAAAGGCCTATCTTTCATAATAAGCTACCTGAGGTGTTCTCCGTAACCCATTACCTCTAATCCATTACACATCTTATTTATAATTCATCTTGATTCTAAAGTATAATTACACAGGCATAAAATCTAATCATCAAAGCAGGAGCTAAGGCCAGTTTTGAAATACATCAGATTCTAGTAACATATGTTTTGGATCAGGAATATACAAAAATAAGTCTTTTATAATATTTCCACCAAATGTATGGTATTCTAGAGATGGGATGTTTATTTCATGTCTTTACCTAAAATGTGTTTACAAATAAACAAGTGTTATAAATGAAAATATAGCCATTGTGAAGACATTTAGTTTTTGCCTATTACCTGAAGTATTATGATATCACAGCCAGTTCATTGAAAATGTTACTTCTGGAAATAACTGCTTATTACAATTTATGATTTGAAGTGTTGACTATATTACCTTTGGAAGTCAAATACAGAACACACTTTCCTACTACATCTGCTATTGGCGAGGATTGAGTTTCCCATACTTAAGCTGCTCTTCACCCTCTTTTCAATTAAAGGCTGTTGCCTAAACTGACCTAAACTCGGGTCAATCGTATGCAGAAATGGAAAATATTTGTATGTGTTAATTGTGTGGTTCTCTGCAATAAAATCATGGAAATTAGAAATTCCCAGATGACATCTATGTCATATTTTGATCATTTTACCCTCCTCACTCCATATTTATAAGGTCTTCTTGTTAACAGTTGACTGGCTTGTGTCTACCGGTCACCACTCAGAAGGTATAACTTCTGTTAAAAACAATTTTGGGCCTCTCCTGGTGGCGCAGCGGTTGAGGTTGCCTTTAGCCTCTGCAGCACCGGTTCGTTCCCAGGACGCCGGCGAGGGTCCCACCAAAAAAAAAAAAAAAATTAATACCCCCAAATAATACATACCTATTACCAGCTTACAAAATTCAAAAGACAAAATAGTGAAAGTAGGCTTTTTCTTCCCACATGCATACCACTCAGTGTACCCATCACCTCTTTTGTTGCACATGGAATGATTTTGTTTTTATGTACATAAAATATTGAGGGACAGATAGGGCTAAATGGCATACATTATAATTTTGTTTCCCAATATAACACTTGCCTTTCTATTTAGTCTATTGTCAATGAGTATATATATTTTTAATAATCTGGCATAGAGGTACCCATGTTGATTTATTATATATCAAGCACTAAACTTATGATCCCCTTCAGTCCTCACAGCAAAGCTATTTTAAAATCCCTGAAATATCATTTCTTGTATGCTCAGTCTATTTTGTACTTACAGAAACATCACTGAGTATATGTTATCATCCTCATATTATAGATGAAGAAATGCAAGTCCAGGCACGTTAAGAATTCTGCCCATGACCACACAACTGGAAAACATCAAAACTGCAATTTGAACTAGATAAATCTGTTCCAGAAAATCCTAGATAAACTTACATTCAGCTATTAAGGCATCCAACATCCTTATGTTTCAAGGGAGGAAACTGAGGCCCACATATTCAAAATCAGCACAGAATTATATGAAGTGGTGGGACACAAATTAAACAGGATCAGCAGGTTGCAAACCATGGAGACACACAAGACTGTTTTATTGGCAACAGCCCACTTATCTATATTAGTTGTTAAACTCTGAGAGGGGAGGATGTTGTAACTGCACCTGGAGCAAATTGGCTCTTTCCTTATCTCCTAATCCCCTTCTTTCCAGCTTCCCACATTTTTGTGTGAATTTGATTCTAAAATTTGAAGGCATGCAGTATTATAAAAACAAATGAAAGATGGAAGGAGAGCAGAAGAAATTTGAACTGATTAATTTCAGCACACGGGAAAAGAACTTCAGAAAAGTTTAAGTTAGAAAAGAAATGGATAAGATTTAGTATTTCTTTATTTGCACTCTTTAATTCTCTTTTTTCCAAAAAGCATTTTAGATAGACTTTAAAAAGTAGCTATTATCATTCCTTTTGTGTTCCCAACTAAACAAAACCATACTCATGAATCTTGCCCCAGTTCTCTCTGAGAAGAAAAACATTAAAAAAACTCCCTCAAAAAATTGAAAAAAATGGAAAGAGTAAATACAGAAAAAGGAATCAATAAGCAGGGATTAAATAGGAAGAAATTGTCCACTCCTTTGAAAAGCTTGTTTTAGATTACTAACTGTTGTATTGCGGAATAGTCTATCATTGCTGATTAATAGAAATTTAACCTATCAGGGCATAAAATTAGTCTACAGTGTTAGAAGCAAAAGAAAATACAGACATCAACATCTCAGTATGTGCACCTGGCTGAGAAAACCATTAATGACACTAATTTGCCTATAATTCTCAGACAGAACTAACTTGTAAACTGAGCTCCTCCATATTAATTTGTGTCAATTACTTAAGTCTGTATACTCTTTTGAAGGCACAAATTCACAAGCAGGGAAATGAGGAACCTTCCAGTGATGATCAGCCTTGATTGCTAAATAGATGCTCCTAAGAGTTTTAAAGCTAACCCTGGCCCTGTATCCCCTCACCTCCAATGAAATTAGTACTTGACACTTTCAGATGATTCTATGTGCAGTCAGGGTTGAGAATCACAGAGATAGTGCTAGAAGGATCTATATTGACCTCCACTGGTAGCTCTGGCTCAGAATCCTACAGGGTTCCTTTTCAATCTTTCAAGGGAAGAGATACAATATAAGAGAAATTGAATGAATATTACAGTAAACTTCACCTATGGCACACATCTTCAAATTTCAGTCTATAACACTGAATTTCAAATGAGTCTTCAGTGAAAAGTGCTTTTTTCTAAGACTTGTTTTAAATTTCTGCTTTGATTGTAAAGTAGAACTAGAAACTTTTAAATTGCGCAATTTTTACACAAATACTAAACAGATACACCAGGAAAATTGCAATTTTTTTCATACATGAAGATGAAATCCATTTAAGTTTTATCCTATAGTCACAATGCCAAATGTGAAAAAATTTTTGAATACATGCTGAATCATTTCTTCTGTTACACTTGAATGAATTCCTCAATTGTAACTTCCAGACCTTATTTGGTAGCAAAGGCAAAATGAGCTTCTATTTTAAATAATATTAATAAACTTATTAAAATATATGATTAGGTCCACTATAAGACAAATGAGACTCATAGTACTTTAATACAATCACCAGTCTTCTTTATCAGCTTGCTCAAAGCTGGGACATTATGAAGTCTCATTAGAAATTCTTATAGTCTGTGATAAAAACAGAGACTCTTAATTAAGAGCTTAATTAAGGTACTTTGTATTATCCAAATCAAAATGAACAAGGAGAGTGTTGACTATTGATAATTTTCCCTTTCTAAGGAACCTCTTTGCATATGGATTGGGTAACCTAATCCAGGACCAAAGGATGCAAAGGCAATAAGATGTTTTTAATACTATTATACATACTTTGCTTATTCAGTGTTTACTTTTCTTTCATCAATGGGAACAAGATACCTTGTAGAAAATAGTCTGTGAATGGGCCTCCCCGGTTGTGCAGCAGGTTGAGTGCAGTGCTGTGAAGCTGTCCACAGCCACTGCAGCATAAGTTTGATCCCCAGGACTGGCCAGGGAGCAACCCACATGGTGCAGCAGATCTCTCCTGTCTCACCTGCTGCTCCCCTCAGCAGTGTATTTCAGTCAGTCTGCCTGTTCTGTTCTCTGCTCTGTCTCTGGTGAATTCTCTCACCCTCCTGCCCCTCTGGCCTGTACCCCAGTTCTGGTATAAATAAAATAAATCTTAAAATCTGTGTAAGCAAGGTGGTAAAATTTTGCCTTTGTAATCTTCAACAGTTTCTGAAAAACTAACTCCTTTTTTTACTCAAATCCAACAATATCCGATAAATGCAGCAACTTTGCTACCAAGAGGAATGAGCCCAGAACACGACTATTCTATTCCCTCTCCAGAGCTGTGGGCTTCCAGAAAGCCAGATATTTCTTGATATATTTACATAATAAACCCGGATGAAGATGGAATTCCTGATTTTGCATATGTCAGCTTTGCTAGAAGTTTTCTGTTTGCTCTCAGTTTTTCTATTGCAAGATGAAAAAAATAAGATCAGAGAAAAATAAATTTTATTGGTGGCCTAATATCCCAAGGCAGATAGAGCTTTTATTATTTTAAAATGTTATAGTCACTAAATTATATTCATATAAATAATGCAACTGTGGCAGGCTTTTTTTATTCATATTTTTGCTGAGTATCATTGGATATTTACTAGTTATTTATCAAGCATAATAGCAGCAGATTTTACATTGTCAATAGGTGTTAAAATTCTTTCTTTAGTCTAAACAATTTTATTTTAAAACAAAAGTAGACTATTTGAAGTGTGTTCAGGCTGAAAGCTGCCATATGCAAATGACAGGTTGCCTTTGCTGAAGTCTGGTTCCATGCATGCTGAGGGAATAGACATTAGGAATCAAAGTTGCCATTTGTATTTGTAAGTGATGTTGCCTTTAGTGCAGATGAAGAAAAAGAAGCCTTTTAATCACTGAAGAAACAAAATGTTGCCAGGGTGAGATTTCTAAAGTGACTGTCCTAATTGACCTCCTTTTCTTGCAGACATGCATGCCGGGATTTTATCGACTGCGCTCCGAGCCCGGAAGTCGTGGCCCTGGACCAACCTTGGGCACCTGCGTTCCATGTCAGTGTAATGGACACAGCAACCTGTGTGATCCTGAGACCTCTCGGTGCCAGGTATTCACCTGATCCTTTCTTGAACAAAGGATGTGCACATATTTCTTTATATGTGCTCAGATACCACATGCAGAGTTTAGCTAAACTGAAGGGAACTTAACTGTGAAAGAGACAGAGAGAGAGAACGAACCTGTGTGGGGGTGAAGACATTTCCCATATTATATACACTCTGCCCCACCACTGGTCCCTCAAGTAGCCATTGTCTGCACCCACACTCTTCTGCTGTCTAAGGTGGGATAGGTGTCCTAGTTCTTCACTGCCATTTTCACACCATTTTTCTTCTCTCCTACATGACATCCCCCGACTCTGAATTTCTTGCCCTGATCTATTTCTCCACTACACCTGCTTGTTGAAGCTACCTACTAATGCCCAGATGACCCAACTCATTCCTTGAAGATTTTGCCTTATCATTCCCTATTCTTTATAGTACTACTTCTATCATAATTCTTAATGATTTTGAGGTGCATAAAATTAATTTTTGTATACCCTTAACTCTTAGTTCCATGTTTTATTTCATTGTCCTAGTTTAGAACTGGAACTGTCAATAACTCAATGTCTCTATAGTCTCAGTGTTTTCCTTGTCCACCATCTCTTTTCCCTCCAGTTCAATTCTTCTTAATAATTCAACAATTTTTAGTATAACCATTGGTAGTCACATGTTTTCCATTGTTCTTATTTTTCTCATGTTTGTGCCCTTACTTTCTTAACCAGCATAGTATTCATAATCGTTCATGAGTCTCACTGCCTTGCAATGTACATTACCAGTCAGTTTCAGCACCAGTTTCAGTTAAGTCCTATTCCTCCACACTTGTGCCTTCTAAACTGAATGGGGCTATGGAAAGATGGACAATTATGTTACCTAGTCTGCTCTGAATTTATGATCACTTACTTTGACGATGCCGTGTATGTTGCTCTGCAAGCATGCAGTCTTGCATGCAGTCTGCTTTCCCTACTGCATTCCAGAATGACTATTTCATACCCTCCCGTTCCTATTCAATACCCCACTCCCAACTTATTCCCATCCTTATTCTTAGCTGATGGCCCTTATATCTAATTCCCCAAGTTAGAAACAATCAGGGGGAAAAAAAAAAAACTAAGAGAAACTCCCAGTACCACCTAACTCTAACTTTCTGAGATATCCCTAGATGAAATAAGAAATAAATCCTAATTTGCATCAAATTTGCACAGTTCATACAAATTGTTGTGCTCTGAATTTTTATATTTTCCTTCAGGGAGCTTATATCTTTTGAATTCAGACAACTTTGTTATCTTTGAAACAGCTTATTGAGCCCACAGAAAACAACTATTACTATTTCCATGAAGTAACTGGGGAACTGAAACATACTGACCACTTTGCTACTTGCAGTGTAGTGTCACATCTGTTATGCTGTGCTGTGCCCTCTACTTACTATGGCCATAAGCATCTGTGGTCAGACTGCCTTGCTTCTCATCCTAATTTGTCTCTCATGGTTTGTGTGTATCTAGTCAATTCACCTAACATGTTGGGTCTTAGTGTCCTAATTTATAAAATGAAAATAACCATAGTACCATTCATAGAGTTTTATAAAGAATCAGGGCCTCCCTGGTGGCACAGGCAGTTGAGTGCCACACTGTGAAGCTGTCCGCAGCCTCTGCAGTGCCAGTTCGATCCCAGCCAGCCGGCGAGAATCCCACATTGGCGCAGCAGACCTCTCCTGACTTGCCCGCTGCTCCCCTCAGCAGTGTATTTCTTTAGTCTGCCTGTTCTGTTCCCCACTCTGTCTCCAGTGAATCCTCTCACCCTCATGCGCATCTAGCCTGTACCCCAGTTCTTGTATAAAAAAATAAATAAATCTTAAAAAAAGATTCAATGCAATACTGAGTGCAATTGTACAATACTGAGGATATTGTAAACTCCATGGAAATGATAGCAATGATGATGGCGATAAAGATTATAATTACTGTGCAGATTACCAACCATTCATAGTGTAAGAACTAATTGCAAGGAGCTTATATTCCAATATTCTGTGAAATAATAGTTCTTATTTGACTGCAGATTCATTTGTATAAGATCCAGATCAAGAAAGGATGTATGTTCAATAATTTTTGCAAATAGCAGACAGGGACTTACACTATATTTTAAGAGAAGTTTTTAGTCAGAATTATTCAATGTTTAGCTTACAAAAGGTGTTTAGCTTGAAAAACATTTAAGAAGTAATAGCATTCTTTATATATTTAAAAGCTTTTTTGGGGAAATGGGAATTAGATTTTATCTGTGTAGCTTTCAGAAAACTTGTCACACTGTAAATTAGAGTGATACATTTTCACTCAGCATCAGGAAAATTTCATAGCTTATAGTTTAGATATATATATATACATGTATATGTATACATATATAATATGTATATTATATATATATATAAACAAGATAAAAGGTGCTGCCTTATAAGAATTGATGCATTTAATAATATATCAAGGAAAGTATAGGAGCATACCTATAAGGAAACAAGGTTAGGTTAGGTAACGTCTCACCTTAGATCTAAGGTACTATAATATTAATGCGCATTCATTTGATTTAATAGAAAGAATGTATTCTACCAGCTTTTAAAATTGTAGACATCAAATATTCTAATCTATTACTGAAAATATACTATATAGTACTTACCACTCGAGATTTAATTCGATTTTTCTTAGGCATCTAAAATATAAACATGTTTCCTAAAGATTAATTTCTGTACAGTAAAAATATTATGTCCACTATTTCAAAGCAAACAGGAAAGTCATAGGAAAGTCTATGTCAAAAAGTTTCAAAAATAGCATCATGATTTATGTGTTATATTTGTGGACTTAACCAGGACATTTGATTCACCTAATCGAGTTCAGTATGTCAGCAACCCTGCAAAAGATTGACTGTCCAGAGAAGGTTAAAATATAGGCTTTCTCTGTGAAAAAATATATAGAGATGTAGGTAAAAGAGAAGCAAACCATATTTTTTAAGCTCTGTTTTTAGTAATCATAAACATTATTACTAAATATTTTGATTTAATTATTGTATATATTGGTTGTCTTTCAAAAGCAAATTGCTGATAATTATTATTCAAGATTTCATGCATGGGGGCAACATTTGTTTCTTTATATAGCATTTTCTTAAAACCATCTCCATTTAACATTTATTCATCTTTTCACATATTGCTGAATGATTTGAAACTGGAATTCAAGATATTTTTATCTTGGAACAATTCTCTCCCCATGCTACTGTTAAGTATGGATTGGCAATTTATTGCTAAAATTTGGTGGTTACTTTGGATGACTGGATATGAGAGGATTTTGGTATTTAAATCAGTATCAAAATACATCAAATCAGTTTGCCCTCTCAACCATCTTTCTGTAAGATCACTAGGCTTGAAACTTGTCCTTTTTCATCTTAATAAGCCAGACTAGTTGCATCTTTACTACCTGGAATGTGCATTCATTCAAACAATCATTCCAAACAGTGAATGCCTACTGCCACGCTCAGTCATTGTGTTGAGCTAGAAGGAGCAATTAGCTTAGACTTAAGGCAGCAGAGAATGTTTATCAAAGAAAGTGATAATTAAAATGGGAGCTGAAATAATTAGTCAGGTAAAAGAAGAAAAATCATTCTAGAGATAATATTTCTCTATACATATGAAAAATCCCAAAGGTGTGAGAGAGATGCACAAAATTTGAGAATTTTATATCTGAGTATAGCACAGTGTACAGAGGCTTCCCTGGCTGGAGTGAGGCTGGAGGGTTCAGCAGGAGCCAGATTATGAAGGTCTTTCTTATCATGCTAGAGTTTGAAATTCATCCTGAGGACAGTGGAGAACTAGTGTAGGGTTTTATGGTATGGTTTGACATGTTAGGTAGGATGATCACTTCAATTGCAGTGTGGGAAAATGACTAGATGAGAAATTCTGGAGTCAGGATCTTTATCTAAGTAGTTGTTCTAATAAGCCAGCTAAAAGATGATAGTAGTCAAATAAAAATGGTAGTAGCAAGGAAGTAAAGAAACAGAGTGCAGCAGAATCATGGAACATGGTGATCAATTAGTTATCTGGAATGAAAGCAAATCACTCAGTTGCTAGCCTGAGTAATCATGTGCATGAAAGTGATCCTAAGTGAAATGGGAACTAAGGTAGTATTTCTGGGTTTAAAAAGATAAGATATTAATTTTAATTTTTTAATTACATAATTTTTATATATAACATTAGTTTTCAACATTTTAAATGATTTAGGGGTATAGGTTCATACCTCTTCAGATGTATGTTACCTTACCACACCTATCACCAAAGGAATAGTGCAATTTTTGACATTTTAAATTCAAGGTATTCTATGTTATGCAATAAGGTCTTTCCAAGAAACAGTTGGAAATGTAAATCTGAAACTCATTATATAAATCTATGACTTAATATATAAAATTTAGAGGTTTTGACACATCTATGCTGTTGTAGTAATAAATAAAATCACTAAGGTAGAATATTTAGGGGGGAAGAGCCAAATTTAAAATCAAGGACACCCAAAAAAACTTAAAAAAATAAAATCAGGCACACCAATGTTATTAAGCAGAAAGGGAAAGAAGATTCCATGAAAGGGGATATGAAAGAAAGCTATAAGACTATGGTGGGGCATGACGCAGCAGACCTGTCCTGACTCGCCCGCTGCTCCCCTCAGCAGTGTATTTCTGTCAGTCTGCCTGTTCTGCTCCCCACTCTGTCTCTGGTGAATCCTCTCACCCTCCACACCTCTGGCCTCTACCCCAGTTCTTGTATGCATAAAATAAATAAATCGTAAAAAAAAAAAAAAAAAAAAAAGACTATGGTGGGGGACTTTTGGTGCTTTGGTGGTGGGTGCAATGATAACATGTATCTGAAGGGGTATGAACCTATACCCCTAAATCATATACAATATTATTAACCTTCATGATCTCAATTAAAAAATACAAAAAAAAACAAAAATAAACATAGTGATAGGAGAAAACCCAGCAGACTGTAATAATTACATGTTATATGCAATATATTAAAAATTATTTATAATATATATAAAACATAGGAAGAGATTTAAAAAAAAAGCATGACCCAAAATATCAGTTACTGCAGAAAACTCATTATTGTCAGTAAATTTTGATTTGGTAGAAAAGATCTGTGGATGAACCTGGAATTATGTTTGGAATCAGAAACTCATTTACGAGGTGATAGGAGGTGAGCAAACCAGGAATATTAACAATGCTTTTACAACGTTTAGCAAAAACAGGGTGAAATAGTCAATGCATTTGAGACCCCAGAAATATTTTTAAGGTAGGAAAGAAATGGGAGTAAATGAGCAACGAAGGAGAAAATGCAGATTCTGGAGAAAATTAGAGAAGCAGGCAGGCAAGGAAACCAGAGTTTAGGAAGAGAATGGCTTAAGACAAAGTATAAAAATATCAGTTATTTTCAGACAAAAATAAATGTGAAAGGAATGGGAAATAATGCAGGCAAGATAATGAGTCATTTGATAGGAAACTGAGGGAGCATCCCTATGGGATAGTGTCCATCTTCATAGAGCCAGTAGATAGCTCTGTGGCTCAGCTGAGTTGATGAAGAGATAGGTTCACTAGCATGTACATCTACTTTATCACTGGCTTTTTCATTTGATCTCAACATTTCTGTTGCTTATAAGAAGTCATCCTTCTAACCAGTCCAAATCCTGTCTTACAACATCAAGCTAAAATCCAGTTCTATATTCCTCATTTTCTCCTTTTCCTCTATTCCAAAGTCAAAGGTCATCTTTCTGTCAAGCAACAACAGTCAATATTGCATTTTTAATGCAACATTTCTAATTCGCCAACTTCTTAAATTTTCCAAAAGTGGAAATAAATTCTTTAATGGTATGATGTTATTTTAGGTTTATTCCCTCACTTGATTCCTCTCAGTCTGTTTCAGTGCCCAGCATGCAGTTCTTCCTAAATCCTTACTTCATGAATGATTACGCTGTGTTAGATTTAATTCTACTTTATGAGAATTTTAATTTCCAAACTTTTTATACATATTCTGAAACTTATCACTTCTTTGTGGAAATGTATTCAAACTTATTACCCAAGTGTTTGTTACTATACTCACATGAAAAAGAAAATATTGGTTTCAGGTTGGATCCTCTCTGTCTACAAAGAACAATCAACATTTGGCAAGCATTAAATGAATAACATTTTTATGTGATAATGAGGCTGACTTTTATGTTTGCTATTGTTATCTCTTAAAACATTTATGCTTTGTTTCAGAAATTACATTGATGGGCATGCACTGAAGTCTTAATACTTTTCTAGCAACTTATATAGAGAAGAAACATAAATGACCAGGGGATATAATACATTTAGAGTTTTCTAGAAGTTTACACAGAGCTTGATGTAAGGAAAGAGAATAGAAAGTCTTGGGCCTCCCCTGGTGGCGCAGGAGATTGAGAGCCACGCTGTGAAGCTGTCTGCAGCCTCTGCAGCATTGGTTCGATCCTGGCCGGCCGGTGAGGGTCCCACGAGGGTCCCACAAGGCGCGGCAGACCTCTCCTGTCTCACCCGCTAATCCCCTCAACAGTGTATTTCTTCAGTCTGCCTGTTCTGCTCCCTGCTCTGTCTCTGGTGAATCCTCTCACCCTCCCTCGCATCTGGCCTGTGCCCCGGTTCTTGTATAAATAAATAAATAAATCTTTTTTAAAAAAAATTCTTATTGATGGTATAGCGACAAAAGCATAGTGTTAGTTTCTCAAATGAAAGACATTCTTTAAAAATATATCAGGGACTGTGTTCTGTGTCAATGGGTTGTGTGTGTGTGTGTATGTATGGTTGTGTGTGTGTACGTATGGTTGTATGTGTGTGTTCACAGGAGCTCACCCACTCATAGATGGGGAACTCTGTAATATGTTGTGTTCTAGCTCCTATTAAATTAAAAACAAACTCTCCTTTTCCATCACAGGATTGTCAGCATCACACTACTGGTGACTTCTGTGAACGATGTTCTCTCGGATACTATGGAATTGTCAAGGGATTGCCAACTGACTGTCAGCAATGTGCTTGTCCTCTGATTTCTTCCAGCAACAAGTAAGATTGAGAAATGTTACCATATTTCCCAGTCAGTAGCACCATCTGTGTAGCACATGGACTTTCTATAATCTGGCTCTATTTCCCTTGTAGACAAGATCTCCATTTAACATGAATTTTTTTTAAACAATGTAAAAGCTTAACAAAACTGAGCAGATCAATACTCTATGGTTCATTTTACCTTTAAAACCCTGTCCCAAGTAAATAATATTTATTAATTACAATGTAAATACTAATATTAACATAAGATATGTATGTGAAATTGATACATGTACAAATACGCAGGCTTTTCTAAATTTTCATAATGGTGATGTTTGCAGAGCATTCTCATAAATTTAGCTATGAAGAATGTTTGGGTGCATATTATATCACTTTTGTGGCTGCGTCCATTCATTTTGTGTTTTTAATTCAAATTGGTAAAGATTTATCAAGAAAATAATCGAAAAAGAATGCAATTTAAGCACAGTGACTTATTGTTACTCCAAAATACATATCTCCTGAATCACAGCCCCTTTCTGTTAAGATGGTCTGAGTTGGTACCATGGAAACAGCCACGAGGGAAAACAAAAGCCGGAATATTTTATTTCACTGCTGTCGGAACCTTCTACATTGGTTTATATATTGATGAAAACCCCTAGGTGTTTTCATTTACGTTTCTGCTAAGTGATTTATAGACTTCAATTTCTACATGGTAGAACATTTTTTCCTCTAAGAACTTGCTTTTGAAATGACTGTATGGCAATTTGTTCAGAATTAGAATCCTGAACACCTTCTCATGAGTACAGAAGAACCACAAGTCTTTTCAGATGATATGTTTCCATCTGTGCCATTCCAGTTTTTGTTTTACATTTTGGGTTTTCTATACTCTGCGACACTTTTTAAGATAAATTGTCTCCCTTTGCTCCGCAAACTCCTCTTTTTGGTTGAACAGAATCAGGTTTTTTGGTATAGTATCAAGTATAAAGTTATTAGGCAGTGGGATGTTAATGAGGATAAAAGCCATCTTTTTCTTCATTCAAAAGCACCAAGTTGTAGGCATATGAAAAATAGTATTTTCATTTTCATTTCCCTAATCTTCCTCTGATGATCAGATTTAAACAAGAAAATGTTATTTATTGTCTTATTTTCTAAAATGTGTATCATTAGACAAATTCAGAAATTGATAAAGTCTTGTTGGGTGAGCCATAACTAAAGCTACAGAAGATATAAAAGAAAAATATAACATTTTGAAGAGGCTCACAATAAAAAGTGGGTCTCAAGAGAAGATATATATATATATATATATATATATATATATATATAAAGAGAGAGAGAAAGAGAGAGAGAGAATTCGAAGGTACAAAGTACCACTCTTGATTTTGGAAGCTTCATAAATATTAAAAGTAGTTGTATTTACAACAAATTTTAAACACTGGATTGAAGGATTTTTACTGGTGAATATAGTATTTAAGAACTGATAAGAGAATTTAGAGGCTGTAGCTCAAATAGAATTTCATAATTGTCGATGACAATTAAAAGCAGAATGGAAGCCTTGAATGCTGCCTAATAACTTGGTATATAATTTTCTATGTAATGAGGAAACACTACTAGTTTTTATTTTTTTAAAAAGGTTAATTTGATCAGTCACATTTTAGAAAGACTATTATGAGAATTGAATGTAATCATTTGAAACACACAAAGAAGAAAAATGCAGAGACTGATTCAGAAGTTATTGCACTAGTTAAGACAAAAGATAATTGGAACCTAGTAGCAATAATAGAGATGAAAGAACTTGGAGAATTTGGAATACAGTTCGTCAGAATTGATAACTAGTTAGATACTAGGGGTGAGGACCAGGCAGGATTTGTAACCAGAGGATTTAAGCCAGACTGACTTCAAAAATGGCAGTACCATTAACTGAAATAGGGAAACATGGAGAGAACTGCTGGAGAAGAAAGACAATTTATGTTTCAAATATGTTAAAAGTGATGTGAAGGTCCTGTCTGAATGGAAATATGCAAATAGCTGCAGGAAACAGAAATCTGAAAATTGGAAGGAAGAGATATGTTAATCAATGAATTAAAGTTGGAGAGGATTTCCCAGGGTAATGTTACACAAGGGAGCACTTAGAAAAAAGGAAAGTCAGGACTAGTGACATTAGGAGAGCCAGAGGAGAAAGAAGTCTGGCCAAGACATGCAAGGAAGCCAGAGAAGGGAGGGCTCTGACTGGAGACCAGGAGGGGGATGAGCCACCGTGGAAGAGCGCAGAAGGTTGCTCTCCAAGGGACACTGAACACTAGTGGTGCTAATTCACAGGGCAGTTTTGGCAGTCAGTAGTGGAAGCTGACATCAGGACACAAGAGTGTGCATCTATAGCTTTAATAAATTGAAGAATGTAAAATAAGAGCACTGCTTTATTAAATAGCAGGATCAAAAAAAAGCATGTTTTCATTTTTTGTATGATTTTGTATGATTTGTATAATTTAAGCATTTTTTAATGTAAAAAGCCCTGTTAGAATCAAAATACCAAATTAAAGGACTTTCAAGTTTAATTGATTGCAACCACATTAAGGATTATTTCTTTATATCATGACCTAGTACAAAAAAACAAAAGGAAACAAAAAAATTGTGTGTGTAAATACTTGGATATATATCATATACCATAACTTTTATTCAATATTGTTTTCTTGCTGTAGGGGGGAACTTAATGTAGTATGCAAACATTGATTTTTTTAAAAGATTTATTTATGCATATAAGATCCCCCCAGAGATGCGGGGGACGAGAAGATTCACCAGAGACAGAGTGGGGAGCAGAACAGGCAAATGTAACAACATACACTGCTGAAGGGAGCCCCAGGTGAGTCAGGAGAGGTCTGCTATGCCATGTGGGTCACCTCCCAGGTCAGGGATCAAACTCATGCTTCAGTGACTGTGGATAGCTTCACAGTGCTGCATCTTAACCACTTGCACCACCAGGGAGGCCCCCATGTGGATTTTTATGATGCACGTCTGAAACTTCTATGAGAGACAAAATGAAATATTATTTAATGAAAAATGAATTAAAGTAAAATGTACAGAAAAAAGAATAGTCATAACATAGAACTTGATTTCTTGACCCGTCATCTAAACTTTGGAACATATTTGACTAATTAACAAAGCAAAGACCCATATAAGGTGAGAAGAAAGGATTAAATAAATGCAAAGCAAAGAGGTCAGCTAGGGTGAAGAAATGAGTCCCTTCTGGAGATATAAAATTAGATACTGAGTATAGGTAGAGGAGACTTAGATACTCTCTCTTCAGTGGCTTCAACCTGTGCAGTCACTGAGACTGTGATCAATTGTGAGTGATTACTAACTCACTTCCACATATTCAAGTTTCCAATCTCACTTACCAAAACAAGTATGAACAAATGTTAACCATTGTGACAGTGTAGTCTGGCTCACATACCCGCTGGGGTTCTCCTCTGCCCACACAAGGAAAGGTCAGATATTTAACAGAGAATTAGAAACCCTCTGCAATTTTACAACCTTTCCAAACCCAGTGTCCTTTCCTCCCTTCTACAATGATGCCTAGTTTAAGTTTCTTACTCTTTTCTAAAGTGCTCAGTAATTTTTGCCAGATGTAGACAAATAAAGATGTTGGAGTTTCACTTATATGTAGAATCTAAGCATTAAAACACTGAACTCATAGAAACTGAGAATAGAATGGATATTGCCAGGAACTGACTATAGTGGATATCCATTGAGTCTGATAAAAGAATACAAACTTTCAATTTGAATAAGATCTGAAGACCTAATATACAACATGATGACCACAGTAGAGAATACTCTACAGTATAATTGGGACTTGCTAAGAGAGTGGAACTTGAGTACTCTACAAAGGAAAAAATATATTTAAGAATGAATTCATAGATGTGTTAATTGAATAGATATTGGCAGTCTTTTCACAAAATTTATCCAATCACATGTATACTTTAAATTCATTACATTTTTATGTGCCAATTATACTTCAATAAAGCTGAAAATATAAGCAGATATGCACTATAATATTAGACAGTAAATGTACTACCAGGAAAAAAAAGAAGAGCCTTAGAGAATTTAGAGTAAATGGGCTACCATTTTAGAAAGGGTGGTTAGTGAAGATCTTCAGAAATGAATGAGATTTGTGCAGACTTGAGTGAAGTAATGGAGAGAGTCACATGGCTATCTGGATGAAGAGCCAATAAATTATAGCAAAAAGCAAGCATGTTGGCCTGGGGACAGGCTGAGTGCCTGGTCCATGTTTGGCAGAAAGCAGGAGTGAATGGGAGAAGAGTGACAAGAGATGGAGGCAAGAAGCTGCAGTAACTAAACATACTGAAGGCTGAAAATCTTCCCAGGGCGAGTGACTTGAAACAGAAAAATGCAATCATGTTAGTGATGTTAACATTAGTAGCTTTCACAGAAAGAATATAGGAGGGGTGTCTGAAAAAGACAGACAAAACTGGCTCTGAGGGTGTTGGCAGAGCAAATGAAAGCACAGGATGGCTGTTGACTGAGATGGGGAAAGTTACAGAAAGATCAGTGGTATTTTCAGAAACATGGAACTCGGTTTTACATCTCCTAGGATAGATAAGATATTTAAATCCTTTATGACTGAATTAGATTATTTAGGGGAGGGAGGACAGGACAGACAGGATAGGAGAAATTTGAGGATTGAACTGTGAGGTCATTAAGAGGTTGCAGACATGTGGTATATCCAGCAAAGGAGACTGAAAACGAACAGCCTGTGAACTAGGCACAAACAAAACAAAACAAAACAAAACAAAAAACTAGAAGGGGATGGTATCCAGGAAGCCAGTTCATCTCCACACCATCCGCGGGCATGACCAAACTATAGCAGACATTGTAAATCTTAGAAATTCTGTTGAAATGATTTTGGACTTCGCAACCCTAAGGCAATGTAAAAGATGTCCACCAAGAGAAAAGCACAAGGGTGTCTGAGTGGTCCTACACACAATATGAGAATCAAAAGCAGAGAGACTGTTGTAAGCAGAAAGAATAAGCTTGAATTTCAACAAAGATGTGATTTCTACTCCTTCCATCATAAGCCCTTTTATGTGATATAAAAGTATCATCTAATGTAATATCATAATTTGAAAAAGTTTCTATCAACTATTCAAGGAATTCTCCTACCATACTACTCTATAGTAATTGAGACAGTATTTTGCTATAAAGGAATGCAATTTGGTTATGTTGACTCTCTAGAGTTTCACTTAAAATGTCTAAAATCTGTTTCCAAGTACTTGTGTATATGTACAGATGCACTCAGCATCAAGCTTTAAATTAAAAAGCTAAAAGCTTGCCAAAATGTGTCAATTATGTGTTCATGGGTCTATTTTTGTGAAGACAAAAAATAAATTTGTTGGATAATGAGTTTGTGAGTAGATCAATTTATTCACATATTTTGTGAAGGTTAAGGTTTATTACTCACTTATGTACTATTGATTTAATACATTCGCAGACAGTTAAAATGGGATCTTATTTTAATGGTGTGTTTATCTTTTCACTATATAGGATTCCTCCCCGCAGGTGCTGTTACCATAGTTTTCCCACCACTAAAGTGCCCACAGTCCTCCACCACACTCCATCATGCTCTCCTCTCTCCCCTGCCCTCCTGAGTAGCTCAGATCTAAGGTCAGCTTTGAAGGCTCAGTCTTAGAGTTTATCTTCATCTCATCCTTAGTTTGGTTTCTCTAGATTCCACACAGAAGTAAAGCGATCCAGTGTTTATCTTTATCCTTCTGACTTACTTTGCTTAGAATAATGCCTTCCAGCTCCATCCATGTTGCCACAAATGGCATGAGTTTATCTTTTTCAATAGCTGAGTAGTGTTCCATTGCGTACATATACCATATCTTCTTAATCCACTCATCTGTTCTGGGACATTTAGGTTGTTTCCATATCTTGGTTATTGTAAATAGTGCTCCTATAAACATAGGAGTTCAGGTTTTCTTTTGAATTAGTATTTTTGTTCTCGCTGTGTCAGTACCTAGGAGTGGAATTGCTGGATCATATGGTATTTGACCAATAGGAGTTGTAGCTTTGGTCTACATGCTTTTGCTTTGTCAAATCTATTGGCTAAGTGGACCAGTCAAAAGCAAAATGACAATTGCTGCATTATCATTTTGCAATAAAGATACTTGTTTTTCTTCATAAGTTTCCAATATACCACACAGTTTTATCCCTTGAGAAAGCAGCACTGCTTACTTTTGAGAGAGGCAAAAGCCAAACATTAATACAGTTTAGTTAATAGAGTTTAGTTTCTTAGAATAAGGTGATTAGAAGTCCTAGAGCAACACTGACTGAGTATGGGTTACTAGTGTTTCCAGTGTTGTCGTGAAAATTAGTGTTTCTAGGTTACAGAAGACCTACCTATAAGGAATATAATAAAATGGTCAACAAATCTTATTCATTTTCGTGTAGAAAGCTTTCCCTTCTTTCCTCACACTAAATCATATTACTTGGGGTTTGAAGGAACAATGTATTTTGAAATTCAGATATAAACTAGAACGGTGCTTTTTTATTTTAAGTAAAACATTTATTCACACTTTATGTGTTGAAGTGTCAATGGCAATTTGAGCTGGGTTTTCAGCAAAAAAATATGGTTCTTATGCGTCTTTCTAACTTGAAAGATATTGGATAATTCTAATTCTACTATCAGACAAGATTGCATGAGTGTTTTTCTTTTAACTAATGACAAATAGGACACTTTTATTGGCTGTTTAATATTTTCATGGTTGTCACATACCTATTGAAATTCTAAAATTTTAATGTGTTCAATGTCACACATTGTTAATTCATCAAAAACTAATCATATTTATTTGATGACTACTATTGGTAATATTTTGTTGTGATGTCCTGCTCTGAAATAGGAACTATAAATGGCTATAGATATGGTATTTATGATCACCTAAATGTAAGTTCCAGCCATCTGGATAATAAATAGAATTACCTACTTTTTTAAAACAAATGATCTTGTTTTTTTTCTGCTTCAGTTTCAGCCCTTCTTGTGTCATGGAAGGTCTTGATGATTACCGCTGCACTGCTTGTCCACGAGGATACGAAGGCCAGTATTGTGAAAGGTATGAGCAATCATGATACATAGCGATCATAGACTAAAGGGTCGTAATGAAGAAGTGCTCCTTATTTTCGTATTCTGTAGTAGTTTAAATGATACGCTTTCACTAGAATTTTTATGTCTTTAGGCTTTCTCCAAAAAATTGTTGCCAGCTTATATTTAGATTTTCTCCAATTCTAAATTATTTGATAATTATCTAATTTATATATACATACATATATGCATAAATGAAGTAATATAATTTTAGAACAAATAGGTCAACTCAATTTTCAAAATCTTATCAGTCATTACCAATAATAAAAAACTGGCCACACATAATTCTAATTTTAATTCACTGGAAATATCAACTAGACTGTATGCATGCCACTGTTCTGAGCACTGTCATTTTGTAGCAACTAGTGTATATTTTATTCAGAATATAAATAATATTGAGTATCTTTAATTGAGCAACCCACACAATAAAACAATTTTTATTCAGTTATTTATATGAGGCAACTATATTATTGGAATGCTTTTTCTCTCCATATATTTTATAGTATATATGATAATGCATTTATTGAGTGTTTAAATTAAATACTAAAGTAATACAGATGGTAAATGAAAGAGCACAATTGCAGACTAATTATCCATTATGGTTGTAATTAGCATCTTCTTTCCATATTTTCTGTAAGATCAATATCCTGGATTCTCAAGTTTATCATTACCACCTTTAGTATATTATAGGTATCATCTCTAAGATAACAGAAAAAAATTAATGTTAACATTATACACACATGATAATTTTAGCATAGTAACATTAAAGTTTTATAAAGATCCACAAACTTGCCTATGTCCACTAACTTAGCTGGTTCCTGTTTTACTCACTGATAAATCAGAATGCTGATGCCTTACCTACTTTACACTAAAATTGTGAAGATCAAGTGTATAGGGGTGCTCTTGGTGCTTTGCACCTATGTGGAAGCCTCCTATCACATAGGGGGGCAATGAAGCCTGAGAATGTGCCCACCTTCAATTGGTGTTCCATAGTCAATGACTAATTAGTATGGAAGTACAAAGTCTAGTTCTTTTGCACCAAAGCAGGATAAATTTTGTGATGTTTTTATACCTCACAGTTTTCCATGGAATCAGTCGCAGACTGGATCACCTGGAATCATACCATTTCGTGTATCTTTACTTTTCAATCCCCTGCCCATCTCCCCACTCCTTTGCTGGATTCTTTTAGGGGTCCTTTCTTAAATGATTAATCTCTTTGCAAATATAAACCAATATTAATTTATCATCATCCCCTTGAGGATCTTCTTTTGACATTATCAGTAATAGCTATATTAATAAATGCAATAAGTAAGTGACTTATGTTTTGTAAATTACAATACAGTTTTCATGAATTTACAAAGTATATTTCCAAATAATTCTATGTGTGGTAACTCTCAATGCACTATATAGTGGTGGATTCATCATTTCCATGCCAACAAAATTTACAATTAAATAACAAAGCAATACAAATGCAAAATGTATCCATTTGCTTAATATATACATGGGGAGGTATGTCTTTGGTATCCATGATTAGGCTGTATTCATTCCATGCCCTTGTAAATACCAGTAGGATGACAACTAAAAACATCCTTGTACACCAAAAGAATTTTAAAAAAATTATAATGTAGCTACATTTATAAATTGAAATTATCACTATCCACAAAAGCATGTACACAAAAAGGTCTGGAAGGGTACCATGAAATGACAATTATTGTCTTAAGGCAGAATGATTACAGAAAATTTACTTTTTTCATATCCATTAATGTTTAATCAATTCAATCAAGTTGACAGTTCATATAGCATATAGATGAGCAGCCATACACTATCAAATAGGAATGACTTGATTTGTTTTGCCATTCTCAAATGTTGTTATAGCTTTACATTCATCATCTCTAACATATAAATGATCAGGTTATATTTCCCTGAAAAATTACTTTTATTCAGCCAAATTAAACTGAAGGTCTTGGTTAAATTTTTATTGTAACCTTCCAAATAAATTTGTTCTACTTCTGAGAACTTCTTAAATCATTTAAATCACCTTATGACCTGCCTAAACTCATCAGCTCAGATCTAAAACTGCTAAAATATCAAGTATATCTGTAATATAGAAGCCCCTTTCCCATACTTTATCTTCCATATGCTTATAATAAAGCATTTGAGGATTTATTCAATCTGAACTAGTTTGAAATGGAATTATTTCACATAAAATGTTAAAGAAGCCATTTAAGTGTATTTATTTAAATTATATTGATATGCATTTCTAATACTAAAATGGAAATAAAATAACAATTAAAACTGCAAATGAATCTTTTTGTTACAGATCATTTTCTTGTTGCTTTGTCTTTGCTAATACAGGATGAATTAACTTGCGCAATCAACCATACAAATTTCCACAATTTCCAGCCACCAAACATAGTCTAAACTTTTGATTTCCACCACCTAAAGTCTTTCAACTTCCTCCCACACTTACCTCTTTTTTTTTTCTAAAGATTTATTTATTTATGCATACAAGAGCTGGCGTATAGGCCAGAGGTGTGGGGGGTGAGAGGACTCACCAGAAACAGAGTGGACAACAGAACAGGAAGACTGACTGAAACACACTGTTGAGGGGAGCAGCAGGCAAGACAGGAGAGGTCTGCTTCACCATGTGGGTTGCTCCCTGGCTGGCTGGGGATCAAACTTGTGCTGCAGAGGCTGCAGATTTCTTCATAGTGCGGTGCTTAACCCCTTGCTCCACCAGTGAGATCCCACACTTGCCTCTTGAACAAAAATCCCAAGTGTTGGTTGCATTTAGTCTACCATAGATATTGTTTGTTGTCCAATCCAGCATACTCTAATGGGAGACAGGAAGCATTTTTAGTAATTAAGCCAGGACAACAGGTTATATGGGACTGTCCTGGTGAAACCTGACCATGTGGTTCTGCTGGCATCTTATAAATTTACCAAATTTCCAGTAATACAACCCTTAGTGGTACACACTTAAGTGAATAGATATATGGATGGTTAGAAGAGTTGGTAAATGGATTTTATTTTAGGTTCAATGAATTGGATTCTCTTTGTAGTATCTCAAATTGTGTTATGTATTTTACTTGTGTGGTATTAACCACTTTCACAGTTACACAATGGAAAATTCATCTTAAGGACTATGTGGTAAAAGGAAAGACCATTAGAATTAAACAGAAAATTTAAATCATTTATTGTCACTTACCTCCTTTTTGCTCATTAGTAAAATGGATGGCTTGCATTATTTAGTCATTTTGATCTTTAAAATGCTTGAGTTTGGGCAAATCCCAAAGTTAGTGTATAATTTTATTCACCTCTACTTTATTTTTTTTTAGAATTATTCCATTTTTGCAAGATTGTTATTTATTTTATTTATTTTGCATAGAAGAACTGGGATGTAGGCCAGAGGTGCAGGGGGTGGGAAGATTCACCAGAGACAGAGTGGGGATCAGAACAGGCGGATCTACTGAAATACATGGCTGAGGGGAGCAGCAGGAGAAACAAGAGAGGTCTGCTGTGCCATGTGTTTTAGTTCCCTTGCTGAGGATCGGATCTCAAGCCATCACAGAGAGCCTTTGTGGTGGTAGCCCTGAGACTTAACTTAGACTACCAGGGGAGACCCCTATCCATCTCTACCTAAAAATGAGGGTTTTTTTTAATTTATTATCTAAAGTAGTGGTGGAAAAATATGGTTCTTCCCAATTTGAACCATTTCCTGATTCTTCTTGTCACTCAAGCTGAGAATGTTTGTTTTAGGCAACCATTTACAATGGATTTGATGATAGGATGGGCTAAATTTGAACACCCATTACATAAATTTGATACCTCAAAAATCATTCCATTCTCTCATTAATCACTTTCTCATTAGTAGATTATCATTATAAAATAATTTTACTCCATTCTTATTATCATTAAGTTTTTATTCCTATCAACCAAAAAGAGTTTGAAAACTTAACTTCTTAAGGCCAGGTTTTGATATGACCTTTTGGCCTGCAATGTCTAAAATATTTACTATTTGGATTTTTAGAAGGATAGTTTGTTGATTCTTGACCCATAGAGTCTTAAGATCAGTTTGGGTTGTTTTGTTGTGTTTTGTTTTGTTTTTCACTTGAAACACACACAGCAACAACTTAACAGCATTTTATTGATCTCCTTTGTGTTGTCTGTCACTGTCTGCATCTAGGTGTGCCCCTGGCTATACTGGCAGCCCAAGCAGCCCTGGAGGCTCCTGTCAAGAATGTGAGTGTGACCCCTATGGCTCGCTGCCTGTGCCCTGTGACCCTGTCACAGGGTTCTGCACGTGCCGCCCAGGAGCTACAGGGCAGAAGTGTGACGGCTGCAAACACTGGCATGCACGCGAGGGCATGGAGTGTATTTGTACGTATACTAACTTAGCTATTAGTTCTAGAGCCCTTGGTTCCATATCTATCTCATTTCCAGTAACAAAGACTTTTTTCTTTTTTTGCAATAAACTAGTGCTACTCTTCATTCTTTCTGACACTATCTATCCACCTTCTACTGTCCACCTGCTGCTTTTATCTCCATCCTGCTGAGCCAAGAACAGCTGAGAAAACCCTCAGATGCTTTAGTCAGTTCATTGAAGACCTACAACAAAGCTCCTGGAGGCATATTTTATTTTATTTTGTCCATCTCAGGGTTTGCAGTTTTGCCAAAGCTTGGCATTGCCTTTGTGACAGATTAAAGACCTGGGTTTATTAAATTTTTTAGAAACTGCCTGAATTTGTAGTTGGTTAGACAGATACTTTAAACCTTGAATTACAACTGACATTTCTTTCCCTAGCTTTTACAGGAAAAAAAAGCAGGACATATTGCTTCATATCTTTCTCTTGAATTACACAACCTGGAAGCAATGACAATAAACTCAAGTATTTTTACTCACATGTAAAATAAATAGAAGTTTTCTTTTTTATTACAGTTTCTGGATTCAGTATTGTGAAATTGAAAAGAAATCAATCATCAGTAGTTTAAATATAATTCTTGTATCTTATATAAATTCTAATTTAAAGTAGGCTGTTTATAAATTTAGGAGAGACTGTTATCCTATGGTATTATTTCTCCTTAACGTAATTGACATTCATGGTCATAATTCTTTTTAGCACATAGAAATGTAAAATTTTTCAGTATTTTAAGGTCAATATTTACCTAATTTTATGTACTTATGCATGCCAATATTTCCAATTTTAACATCTTATGTGTGTCTAAATCTTAAACACATTATATTTGGAAATTTTTTTTTGTGCTCTAGTTTTTTAATAGTAACCAAGGGAAAGAGGTTGGGGGTGGGGAGGAGCAGAAAAGCAAAGAAGGAGGGAGACATAATGGTGGTGGAGAACTGGTGAGTGGGTGGTGCATGCACTAGGATGTTAATGCCCGATGGGGACACCCCAGTGTTACCACAGTTAAAAAATAATTAATAAATTAAAAAAAAGAGTTACTGAAATTGCTAAGACTGACTTTCAAATATACCTAACCATAAAAACTGGATGTTTTGTAGAATATTGCTCTTTATTTTTTTAATTGATCTACAATTTGGTTTAATATACTATGGAAGGTTCGGTAGCATAGTTTCACTTCTCAGTGAGACTATAAACCACTTTGAAATTACACCACTAAATTTTAGTATTATTCACTCACTATTAGATTGACTCCATCTACATGTTCATCCCACCTCATTCCCCCTCTAATAATCATTTGTTGTCAGTCTAAGAATTATTTTGCTATATGTTTATTCTCTAAGTTTGCTTTGTTTCTTTATACTCTATATATGAATGAAATCATCTAGTATTTGTCTTTCTCTTTCTAATTTATTTTACTTAGTATAATCACTTCAATTTCCATCCATGTTGTTGGAAAAGGCAAGATTTCTTTGTATAGCTGTATAGTATCCCATTGAATACACACACACACACACACACACACACACACATATCATATCCTCTTTATCCAATTATCCATCCATGGGGATTTAGGTTATTTTTCATGTCTTCACTATTGTGAATACCACTGCAGTAGACAGAGAAGTGCACATGTATTTTCAAAATAGTGTTTTCATGGAATATAGATTTTAAAATTATTTTTCTAGGTATTTCAGCTGTCTTTGAAGCAAACATATCACATTTAGATAAAAATAAATGCCACAGTTACAGGGAATATAAAATATATAATACATATTTACATTGTCACATTCAATTACTGGTATATAAATAATCACTTTTATCAAGAATGATGGTATATTTTAATAATTCAAGTGAACTTCAATGTAATCTAACTTGTTTGAATAGTTTTCTAGTTAAAATGTTAACTTGAATGTATTTAACTAGATAATACTGTATATAGATACTCCTGATGAAATGACGTATCTAAACATTCCTTGAATTATGAATCATCAATTTTATTAATTACCCATAAGTAAACTTGAAATATAAACATACACATGGTGATTGAGTGAAGTTTATACACATATTGAGGTGTGAAACACTGTTCCTGAAATTATATGTATAAAAATGGTAAATTAATAAAATTTGATGAAAAAAAGTAAAATTAAACATTGTTTACAAAAAACGTCTAACATTTGATGTGAAGCACAAGAAATAAGCAATAGCAAATATCTAAATCCTAAATAATAGGATTATTTTCCAAACATTTATTTTAAAGGAGATTGCCATTTTGCCTATCAATAATTATGGCTTTAAATTCTTATTCTGTAGATGAACAATACTTTATATACATTTAAATAAATTGATGAGAAAATGCAGTCCTTTATCCCTGTCACATCTGTGGATTTGAAATCTCCCTGTTTCAGTCCTCCAGTTGCAGTTGCACCAGTCTTGTAATGATCACTTGCCTTATTCTTGTTCCACAGAAAAATGTATTTCTAACTGTTCCAATGATATTCAGTTCAGTTGCTATGTCCAGAAAACTTATATTCTGCTGGAGGATTAAATAATGTGATTATTCTTAAAAAAAATTAAATTATGGGATTGTTTAGAAGTGCTTATTCTTGTTTTATTAAAAAAAACTTGTTTTGTATTTCTAAAATATTTCTCCTTTTCAGTGTATAAATTCTGTATAGCCTGACCTTATGCTGCTCTCAAACTTTGTTGATTTCCACTTACTTTCATGAATGTTCTCTCTTTACCCTTCATTGGGTTAACTATATGATTGTTAGACTTTTATCTGACTCCTTTTCTTAATATTTAAAACTTGTCCTACTGTGAAAAATATGCCATTATTCTGTTATGATGGTCTTTCCCATGACTGTTTCTATTCCTGATTTAGGAATTAGATAATAGTGTCATTATATATCTCTTTATATATCCTTACCCTAAGTTAGAGTGTGATTGACTTGCAGAGACTGGTTGATCATATGTGACCTGCCTGAAATTTTGTAAGGCCCATGGTTGGGTGTCTGTGGAGGTAGCCTAAACAGGCAAGAGAATATATATGCAGATAAAGAAATGGTGTAGTCTGTGGTACTGATTGTTAATACAGTGCTGACTGTGGAAAATAAGTTTCTCCTATTAGAAATAAATTGACACTAAGAAACTTTAGTAGCAGGCATTGTACAATTAATTTTGCTGTTACTAATTAATTCTCTAGAAACACAATTGAATTTGGTCCACATCATGAATTTTGTGTCTACATACATGCATACACACACATGCACACGTGTGCACACACACCATAAGTTTGTAATATATACACACAATTCCATAGTGTGGTTAAATTTTATATTTTTTTAATTGCACTATATATATAGATAGATGTATACCTCGCTCTCTCTCTCTTTCTCTCTCTCTCTCTCTCTCTCTCTCTCTCTCTCTCTCAGAGTTTAAAATTACCCTATAAATGACCTATGCATATTCTTTGCATTATTTCAGGTGAGCTGTATTGGTGGAAAGAATCTATATATTCACTGTAAAGTGAAATTAAGTCCTTAATTTATTTAACAAAGGTTAGAAAGTTATGCTTTAGTGTTTAGGCAACACAGAGAAAATGAATAAATCATGGAAGAGGTTCCTTTGATAGCTTAAGTCCCTAAAAGAGACTGGTGGCTGCTATGGACAATTACCCAAGAGAAAGCTAGGTTTTTATTGGTTCCAACATGGTGGATTAGTTGCTGGGCACAAGTCTCTTATACATGAAGTTTCCACCACTATCATGTGGCAGATTATTGTTGCATGAATAATCTGTAGCCCTTAATAATAGAGTCTCTCATAGTTAAAGAGTCCAATTTAACTTCCCCAGGTTATAGACTCTACCAGAGTCAGTGCCTGGACATACCTAGCCAATATATCTGCCTTCCAATTCCCACTGTAGCCTAAAGCCCCTTTCACTCCACAGGTTTTATTATCATAGCAACTTTTTAAAAGTTCACTTATATTGAGAATTTACCACTTGCTGAAAATTGTATTTAATACACATCCATTGACTTCCAAATGCTACTTAATGTGTTGTGGCTTTGATTGTTGCACTGGTGCTCGGTCTCTGTCCTAGACCTTTAAATGCTGTTCTCTCTGCCCCCACTCATTCCCCACATATGGTTCCTATTTGAAGGCTATGCTTTCTACAGCTCTGAGTCATGCCATGTTGCTCAAATCCAGCATCAGGGAATCTTAAAAGCAATTTCTATTCACCCTGCTTGCACCTTCTCCTTATCTCTTATGTTAGTAAAAGACACTTTGAATTTCTTGTCAATTTCTTTAGTTCAGGTCGAGGCTAACAATATTGTGGAATAGCAACTGTTGGTCTGGAAGTAGATAATTTTCCAGTTATGGGGGCTGTCTCAGTGGTGGTATGTAAGTATGTGTGTATAGATATAGATACGTAAATCTCACACTGATAAAGCTCTTCTATTAGTGGACTAAGGATTGTACTTTTGAATTGTCATACAGAGGAGCTGATTGCTACTGCCTTTTTTTCAGTTAGGCTGTGTTTTAAAAGTCAACTAAATTCTGCTCTTTTAGATCTTTTTTTTTAAAGATTTATTTATGCATACAAGAGCTGGGATGCAGGCCAGAGGTGTGGGGGTTGAGAGGATTCACCAGAGACAGAGTGGGGAGTATAACAGGCGGACTGACTGAAATGCACTGCTGAGGGGAGCAGTGGATGAGACAGGAGAGGTCTGCTGTGCCATGTAGGTGACCTCCCTGGTGGGGGATCTACCTCATGCTTCGTAGTGCTGAGACAAGCCCTTGTGCCACCAGGGAGGCCCAACTCTGTTAGATCTTGACCTCAAAGAATAATAGAATCACAAGATTAAAGTCAGAAGTTTTATTAGTAAAGTAGTCTGTATTTTCCCATTCTGTGGTATCCCTGACACAGCTTTTGATGCAAGGAAGCATGCTATAATGAAG